TGTAGCGCTTGGTCTTCACATAGACCTTCGTCCCATAAGCCACCGGCATTGATGGCAAACTCCCCAACACGTCGGCTCGCTGTTGGGCCGCTGCGTACTGGACTGCTGTGGGCCAGTGTTCCTTTCCAACCCCTGCGGAGTCGAGAAGGATGCGAGCTCGACGCTTCAAGAACCGCACTCCCGATTCTGCGACTCCATTGGCAGCCGAATCTGACCCCGAAGTCGTCGTAGGCCACATTCCTTGCGCAAGTGCCCACTTCCGCACCACATTCCCACGAAACTCACCTCCGCGGTCCGTATGTAGTCTGGTAACTGGATATCCCAGTGCTTTGATGTCCATCACAATACGCTGGACCGCCGGGAGCATCGTGGTGGCCTTCTTGTTGTTCACCGGCACCGCAAAGTACAAGGTGGAGGTCTTGATGGGCTCCTTGAAAGTAGACAACAACTCCTTCCACTTTCTTTCTTCATCAGCAACTTCAGCAGGATCAACACCCGCCCCATCATCACCACCATCAACCTCACCGGTCTCCTCCTCAGATAGGTGGTCCTCGTCCTCCTCCTGGTCTCCATGTTCCCCAGGAATTGGATGGCCTCGAACTTCAGCATGTCCACCTCCTCCGTCCACCTCTGGAATCCTGAGGGCGCCAATGACAAAGTACCGAAAGAACTTGCCATCAGGGGACCGGCCATAACCTTTAAGAGGACCCACAACATCCACGCTCAAACTGTAGGCCATAGGATGCAGGGATGCTCGGTGCTGGTGGCCCGTTGCACTGTTTCTAACGCATACAGCGCAATCCCGTCGAAAAGGCTGATGATTCCGAGCCACATGTAGTCTCCAAGAGGCATCATCACTTAACTTCGCCAATCGTACATGGCGTGCCCCTGTGAACGTAGAAATTGAGACGTCCAACAGTCCCATCTCATCCAAGTACTCCTTGGTGTCCTGGCACTCAGTCCAGGCGGGCCAAAGGTCCTCGTAGTTCTCCGTCGCTCGTTGGCGGTTGTAGTTGATGCGGTCCATGTCCTCCACATAGAACTTGACAGAAGTTCCATCGCTTCGCTGTTTTCCAGCGCACGCAAGGGCATGGAGGAAGTGAACTTTGCTGCGATGGGGTCCTGCGGCCAACTGGTCCAAGTGGCGAGGTAGGCAGTCGCGGGAAACAATTGCGCTGATCTTTCCTTGGAGGGCTGCCCATTGCACCACCTTCCAAACATCCCCGAACTCATTCTCAACCAACATAGAGTTCACGTTCACATACACAGCACCTCCAATGAACGCCAAGTGCTTCAAGGGGTCCTTGAACCGCTCCACAGTGGGCGGGTCCCATCGTAGCGCCCACGATTCGGCCCTCAACAGGCGCTTGCGCGCCCTTCGGTTCACCTTGAGAGACTTCATCAAGTCCCAAATCCCCGGTCGAGGCAGCTTCGTGATCATCTCATTCTTGACCACATCCTTGTAGTTGATGAACGTCGCTTTCTCCACAGCAGTTCGGGCCTCAAGAACATTTCCCGTCTTCACGTACTTCTCCAAGCACGACCACCAGCTCATCTTCAACTTCCTAAGGGCCTTCACCGACAGCTGAGTGTTGCTCTCGAGTTCTGGGAGCTGGTGCCTTTCCAAACGCTGAATCAACTGCTGGGCAACGGCATGGCTAACCTCCGGGCATCCATTCTTCACATCCAAGACCAGCTGCTCATTGTCCTCGCCGTGCAGGATGCAGTGGTCCGCCGTCCAATCGAGCTTATAGCCGAGGGTGGAGATCACTTTGCCCAGGGGGACGATCACCTGGGCCAACTCCTCAGCACTCAACAAACTCCCACTCACGGTCTGTTTCATAGCTGCCACAGCATCTCCCGCCAACTGGACATTCACCTGTTTAGCTCGATCCCATTCTTGCTGGTCCTTAGGTTGGCGAAGTACATGAGTGGAGCCCGAGTCGAGCAACGCACCGGGAGGCTTTGGTAGGCCGTAGAAACCATGGTCCTTCCAGCACTCCAGAGCCGCAACCAGAGGTTGGAACATCTTCATGTGCCGCACCTCCTCGATCACCTCATGACTTTCACCTGAACATCGCCCGGCTCAAAATTCACCCGTCGAGTGGGCGACTCAGAAGTAGCGGCAGCGCTGGTTGTGGCACCAGTGTCACTGGCTCCAACGGTAGAGCCCTTCGGAGCACCCTTTGATGAAAAGGCTCCTCCTCCTGGGGCCTTGCACTCACGAGCCTTGTGTCCAACAGCCCCGCAACACAAGCACTTTTTTGCTCTGGTTGCCTTATCCATAGCATTCCACGTGTGAGGAAACTTGCAACTGTTGCCCCGTCGACAACCACGGTCTCCCATGAAAAACTTGCACACGTTTCCTGAGGCTCTTGGGGTAGAAGGAGCCGGCGTTCCGGTAGTAGGCGCCGCGGCGGATGGCGTCGATGGCGTCCCGGAGTCCACACCCGCCGTCAAAGCCCTCATTGAAGTAGACACATCACCGCTGGGCCTTGTCGCTCCGAGTCGGGCCTGCTGCTCCATCTCCGCCTGCAGGTGCTGCAAGAACGTCGTGACGCTACCCGAGCTGGGGCTCACGTCCACCTGCAGAGTACTCCGGATCAAACTCACCCGGAACGATAACTCATGGTTGGCCCTCACGATGGGCCCTGTGATACGGTCCAGCCCTTTCAAGAGGACCGAGGCATCCGGCTCCGCTATGCCAATCGACATGGCCCTTCTCCTCCAAAGGTTCCATTTGCGAAGCCCCTCCATAGCCTCCTGAGCGCTCGAACATTCATCGGGCATCTCCAACATCTTCAAGACCAAGGCTTTCTCCTGCAAGTTCCCCGGCTGGTACATGGCGTATAATTTGCAAAGTAACACCAGTGATGTCACTTGACCATGCGCTATCACTTCATCTCTAACGCGCCGGGGCACAGCACTCAGCATCATCGCCGTAGCACGTCTTTCAACCCTTGCCCATTCTGGCCTCGTCAGTTCCGGTGACGCTTGAGGTCGAAGTTGTAGGCGAGCTAGGGGCGCCGCAGAGCTGTACTGGTGGTACCAGGTGGAGACGTCCTTCATGATCGTGGTCCACCATGTTGCGCTCGTGTCCGAGAGGTCCTGCATGATCGGACCGATATGCGTGATCCAATTCAAAAGGTCAATGGATCCTGTCTGGGGCTGATACTCCGGCAAGAAAGGCAGCTCATTGATCCCCGGCTTCACTGTTTCTGGACGGTCAGCTTTACTCACACTCTGCTGTGCCAGTAGGGATTCTATCCCCTTTGCCAAGGTCGCCAACAAGCTGGCCTCTGCGGTTCCCGGTGCAGACGGCGGACCTGGTGCCAGTGGTCTTGGAAGAACAGGCGGTGGTACATCAGGTGGCCTTGGAGGCGGAACGACATGATCACCGCTGTAGGGTTGAGGTACTCTAGCATCACCCGGTTGCCCTTCACGACCAGTACCTCCCATGCCGAACAAGCCCTGAAAGAACGCCTTAGGACCAAGTGGTGACTGTGACCGTGTGCGCGTACTTGCCGTTGGCAGCGGCTGTGGGGGACCAGGTAGGGATTGATCTGCGGAAATTCCAGGTTGAACTCCCGAACCTAGAGGTCGCTGTCCCTCTAGACTCAAAAGAGGAGGACGTACTGCTAAAGGAGCACCTTGACACCCTCCGAAGCTCAAATCTCCCAAAGCAGGACCACCACTCAGTTCGTTATCTCGAAGAGGTAGCGGGCCTTGCAGTGTAGTAGGCCTCGGGGGACCAGGTAGGGATTGATCTGTGGAAACTCCAGGTTGAACTCCAGAACCACAGGCCTCCATCATCCTCATCTCCGCATCCGTAGGTAGGCCCCTCGTATGGACCGTCCGCTGCTCCATCTGTGCCTCGTGCCACTCCAGTTGCTGACGTAGCCGCTGCGCCTCACTCGTAGCCTCCATAGTTCTTTGTCGCTCCGCTTGAAGGCGAACCATGATATCACCCACTGCATGCTCCAGCTGTCTCGCCACCTCTGCTTGCACCATTTCTGCGGAAAACCCAACCGATCCACTGGAGGCTGAGTCCGCATGCCGTGCTGGCTGCGCCACTACAGGCACAGGCAGTCGTGGAAGTTCCGCTGCTCCTTCCGGACGTGGCCAAGCCGTGCCGGGGTTGCCTCCCGCATTGGGAGGTGACGACCAAGCCGTCACTTCGACTCGTCGCTGTATGTAGTCGCCTAGGCGACCAAACCACGTAGACCTTGAAGATCCACCAGCGTGTCCGACCACTGGGCTTTGTCCAGGCAACGGCGATGGACTAAACCTGTCAAACAACGCTGTTCCACTCTCATCGTATAACGTCACGTCGCGCTCCGGTGCGGCTGACTCATGCACTGACGCGGCGTGTCCGGTTCCCCTGATAGGGGGATCGTGATCTGCATGCTCCTGCGCCGGCTCAGTCATGATGCGCACTCCGCGGGAGTTTGCACGATCCTCTGCCCGCTCCTGCCGACCATGCTCTGCGTCTTGACTCCCTTCCGCATTTCCAGGAGTGGCCAAAGACGGCCCAACACCATTGGGAAGCTGAGTCTCTGTCTGAAGTCTTCGCTCCTCATCTCGTAGTTGCGCAGGCATCTCTTGGCCGTAGTTCGGCCCCAAGAGTTCGCCCTCAAGGGCTTGCGTTGGGCTCATACCCTGCTGAACGAGCTCCAGACTCTGCAGAATTGTCAGCGGAGGAAGCCATGAATCACGAATTTCGAAAGCTCTCTTTTTAGCAGCCTAGCGAACGTTGTTGGTGCTTGCTTGGCCTATGACTTAGGTCGTGCTTCGCACTGATTAAAGTCCTGCCTATGCTGCAAGCTGCGGCCTCCTTGGGCCTTTGGTATCGCGGCACACGACATGCACCTGAGCGGAGGGTTTCAGCACCTGAACCCTTAAAACCAAAGCCCCTAAACCCTACTCCCCCCCAAAGCCTAGTAAACTAGTAAACCCCTCAAAGCCCTACAGGCCGCTGAAAGCCCTTAAACCGAAGCCAGGTACGAGCCGCTGTCTTGGGCGTTCATCGACGGGCTGCCGGGTGAGGTCTTTTGGAGATCCTTGGCTGGTCTACCAGAGCCCTCGGGTTTTTTAGGGCTTAAGGTTTAGTGCTTAAGGTTTAGGGTTTAGGAGTTTAGCGTGTAAGGCTGAAGACCAAAGGTGTAGGAGTTTATGGTTGAAGGTTTGCGGGTTAGGGTTCCTTATTGACAGGGTTTACGGTTAAGGGTTCTGGCTTGGGGTTTGGGGTTTGGGGTCTACCTGAGCCCTGTAAGAACCCAGTTCGGGACCCTAAAAGGCATCCTAATTGGGGTGGAGTTGCTTGAGGAGGTCATGGCTTTCGGAGGTGGGGCGAGGATTCAGGGTTGATGGGCCTTTACGGTTCAGGGCTTGAGGGCAGGTTATAGAAGAGTTTAAGGGTTTTTAGGTTTAGTGTTTGGGTTTGCGGTTTGTACCCAGAACCTGGATCCCATAATCACAAAAACCCGTACCTCTAAAACCCCCTAGAGCGAAACCCCTCTAGTCCCTGAGTCTTGGCCTAGACCAGCAATGTTCCTAAACCCCAATTGAAAACCCTCTACATGGGAGTTTCCGAAAATTGGGGGTACCTTATTTGGGGGTCCTTATAATAAGGATCCCACTATTTAAGGTGCTATATTCGGGTCCCCTCTTTTCGGAAACTCCCACATAATCCTGAAGCCCTTCGCAGATATCCTCCTCCATGAACTTAAACCCCTGCGACATCTGTTCATAAGTCAATGAAAAACCGACAAACTTGTCCAAGTAATAATAGTAATAATAGTAACAATAATATTAAAAAGAAAGTATTGAATTTTATAGTACCCTGCACAAACACCATAGAGCCCCTACCAACTAGAAGCAAACGGACTGCCTATAGTCTCCATTGTAGTTCCTCTTTCTGGCTAACCAAGTTTATGGTTAGGATCCTATAATAGAGATATTGGTTAACCAAAAAAAAGGAACTACAATGGAGACTATAGATATACCCTCAAGTCACTGAAGGCTTTATGGTTAGGATCCTAATGGAGACTATAGGTGCTCCCACTCCTCTCCGGTTCGATTCGAGGTCTCGTGGCTTTGGCCGCTCTCGCGGCTTCCTGGCTGAAGTTGCTGTGTTTTGCCATTTCAGGATGGTGCGACTATGCCGAAACCCTATTCTCGTTATTAAGGCCCCCATAGTATACATATACATTATATATATATATATATATATATGCATATATATATATATGTGTGTATATATAACAGCTTCATTGTTTGATGAGTTTCAGACCAAAGGTTAGGTGATGGATTGATTTCTCCCTGAGGCTTGCTACTTGTTTCTTTAGCTTTAGGGTTCAGGTTTGGATTCTTCCCATATCCCCAGATGTGTTCAACATGCTTAAGCTGTTGTCTGTGTTATAAACACATATATAACATATCGCAAAGAGATACTTAAGTAGATGTTGATTTATGTATTGATCTTGCTGTTTGTTTGCTTTGTGTAATCGTTCATTCGCTTGTAACATTGTATGTGCTTCTAAATGTAGGTATGTAATTAGGTGGGTATATATACATACATATGAGTGTATGTATACACACGCATATATATATAGATATGTATGTATGTATGTATGTATGTATATGTTTATGCACACACGCACGTGCATACATACATTCATATCGATCGTTGCTGGTTTCCGCGTATCTATCTGTGCATATAAGTATAAATATAAATAAATAATATATATATATATATATATATATATATATATCCATATATGTATTTATACAGACAGATATAGATATAGATATAGATATGGACAGACAGATAGTTATGTGTGTGTGTATACACAGGTACTCGCCTACTTGGCTTACTTGCAGTATGTGTGGATACATATCGATGTATATATATATATATATATATATATATATATATATAGAGGAGAGAGAGAGAGAGAGAGAGAGAGAGAGAGAGAGAGAGAGAGAGAGAGAGAGAGTATAGTATTGCAGAAATGTTTGGAAAGTGCGAGTAGGATGCGAGTAGGACTGAGAATGGTTCAAAGTTTGTGCAGGGTTCTATAGGACGTTCAGAGGATATTATATTACGGTCTGTCCAAGCGATCTTGGGCGAGGGGTTGTGAAACTATGAGCGGTTTGAGCAGAATGATTTGAGTGTTCACTTGAGGAACTTGTTTCATCTGAAGAAATTAGGCTTTGTATTCTTTAGCGCCCTTCGCTTTTGAGTGTGCCGTGTCTTCCGCTTACCCTTCAGCAGCGATGAAGTCCGATGAGGAAATCGCGGTGCAACTCCAGCGAGAGGAGTTGATTCAGGAAAGCGATGCTGCGCAGTGAAGCGAGAGCGAGAGTGATGGCCAAGTCGTGGAGACGATTAAGCAAGCCATGAAGAATAGCAACAAAAAGCATTCGTATGTTCCGCATGAAGAAGATGACTGAGCATTTCAGCGACGAGAAGGAGGCGATTGATGGAGTTGACGAACTCCCAGATGATCTACCATTGGTTTAGTAGGGAATGGAGGAATGGTAGTAACTGTAGCTATAATTGTACCCGATTCCTCCATTCCCTACTAACCAAAGGTAACATGAAGGTGAAGCGATGGAAAGCTTCCTCATCACGACAAATTACATTGTTGAGTAGCTCTCCTCATCACGAGAGATTACATTGTTGAGTAGCTCAGTTCCAAGGTGGAGAAGAAGGTAAAGGACGACCGCACCCGCATCAATGTCAAGAGTCAAGATTGTCTACGGTGGTGTTGTTGTTTCGGTTTTTAGTTTACGGGTGTGGGCTTACGATTCAGGCTTTGGGTTGAGGAACTTGGGTTTTGGTCGTCCGCACTGTAACAGGTGACGCGGCAGCAAACACGACCCTCGCGTGGCAATGGTATTGTCTTTGGATCCGAACTCCTTACAACTTGAAAGACCCCGGAGCTTCAGTGGGATGAGGTGGGTTTTGACTAACCTCTACATTTACATCACCTTAAATCCTAGACGCTGAGCCCTTGCTTGAACCCAACTCCTTAACACACTAAGAACCAAACCTTAAACAGGAAACCCTTAAAGCTCTAAGTCTTTAAACCCTAAGCCGTACTTGGAGGTTCATGGCAAGCTATAAGTCGGGTTACCAGTCCCCTAATATAGGTTTCAAGTCTATTTGCCCTAATTACTTATGACTGCCCATGAACCTCCAAGCAAGCCCTAAACCCTCTACCCTTATAGTAGGGACTACCATAAGGGACCCTAAAACCCTAAACCCTAAAGCGACTATCATAGGGATCAGTTCCCCCATTCCCTACTAAGAACCAGACAGAAGACTCGGCTAGGTCGTGGGTTGCCGGCCCTCATCTTGCGCAGAGACTTCAGAGGCTTTGGCGGCTTTGAGACCTAGGTTTTTTTTGCGGGGGTTAGGCTTGAGGCATTAGGGTGGTTTAGGGTTTTGGGTGTTCGGGATTTAGAGTTTAGGACTCAATGTACCCTAACTCCTAACAGCTCCACTCCGGGCCTTAACCACCAAGTCCTAAGCCGAAGCCCATTTTCCTGCAGGTCTCCTTCGGCGATCCGACAAGTAGGTCTAGAATTTTCAGAAATCCAAGTGAGATGTGAGATGACGCAATAGACCGATGATTAATAATCTATTCCTGCAAGGGCCCTAATGCTAGGATCCCTCTTATGTTCCCTAAAATTGGAAGGCGGGTCATTCATCAGGGCACTGTACATCAGTTAAATAATCCATAAGCGGTACAACTTCAATCATGACAGGATTCTCACGCTGCTTTGCCTGTTGCTGAGAATGATGATTGAAAATATTGTTGTCGTTGATCGTTATGGTTGTGGAGTGATGACGATGGTGATGGTGATATCGGTGGTGAGGTGGTGATGACGAAGGCGTCGTTGATGATGCGGGTGCTATGGTGACAGTTGTTCATGTTTTTAAGGCGGCATCAGGAAGACTACTGGGTTTGGACGGTTTACTGCCCTCAGCTTTCTTTGCATTATGCAGCTTGTCTCGAACCTCTATGTGGTAGTGTATGGCATGTTCGAGGTTTGTGTCTGCAGGCTTTTTTGTGACTGGTAGGGTCGTGACCTGGACTGGAGGTCTTGTTGCGGAGGGGTTTGCTGCTGGAAAGTCTTGTTGGCGCCGTGCTGCTCAGGATGGTTTTGATGATTGCCGTGATGTTGCTGATGATGCTGATGAAGATGACATGACGACGGTGCTGGTGAAGATGCCGCTGATGATGAACACATGTGAGTGGCAAGTTGACGGCGGTATGCACGGCAGTGAGGGGGACAAGTTCCAACTATCTGGCAATCTAGACCCGAAAACTCTGAACCTTTAGTGCTAAACCTTCCTCCAGGGAGCACAATACCCGGATGTCTACAGCTTCAACCTTAGCTAGAAACCTTCAGCAGTTTCAGATGTATATAATACATACAAATGAGCAGTTCTGATCTCCCTACACCCTTAACCCCTGAACCCCTAAACCCGAAATCCGGAAACCTAACGACTTCCGACCAACTCCCCGACTCCAAGCTCCCAATCCGCCATACGAAGCCCGTACTTGGAGGGTCGGGGGACTTAGCAACTGGTTATTTTAGGGACTTATATGTACAACAACCCCAAATAGGGTCCCTTTTAGGGTACTTGTAAGTCTACTTACTACCTACTTACTAAGCCCCCTGACCCTCCAAGTAACCACCCCCAGTCATCTCTCAAGCCTAACCCCCTTCGCAGCCCGGAGACCCTCCAGCCCTTTGAGTTAAGACAGACTCTTCCTTAAACTACAATGGCATGGCTGCTATCCTTTACAACAAGAAGTCCGGAAAACTCCGGAGAGCACCAGGAGATGCAACAAGATCAAGCACCATGCCTTAGGCTTCACTTTGTCATAGTTGGGCAACATTTTACATTTTTATGGGTACTTAAACCCAATAAGGAATAAAAATGAACAAATTTAATCCGATCCCAACCATGAACTAGTTCAGGCTTTGTAGGCTTTGTAAGTCTCGTTTAGCGTATCCTGCTCTCTTGCTTAGGGCCTATGCGGCACAAAAGGGGCCAGAAAATGCAGCTTCCGGTTCCTATTATTGCAAGCTTTGTATAACATGCACCACCCTCTCGGTTTAGGGTTTTGAGTTTAGTCGCTTAGGGCTTACGGTGTAGTTTAGAGCCCCAAGCGACAAGAAAAAAACAACCAAAAAGACACAACAGAGCCACGAAAGCACACAGCAAAACCGTAGAACCGACACTCCCAAAACCACAAAACCCTAAAGCAACTTCAGGGCACCGGCGCTGCTCGGGTCGCGCTCTGGCTTCTGGTGGTCGCAGTGGCAGCCCGTGAGGCTCCAGAGGGAAGGGCTGTTTTGATTAATGAAGGGTTGTTTTAATTAACTAAACACATATTGAAATAGTTATTGAGTTAGTTAACTAGTAAGTTAGTTGAACAAGTAGTGATTTATTTAGTCAACCAAATAGTCAATTGGTTCAGGGTTGAAGGGATCTACTTGGAGAGTCATGGTTATTTATAGCTGAGGATATGGGCTGTAAGTGTAGCTGCCCTTCTTATTGCCCTGCCCATAACTACCCGTGAAGTTCCAAGTAGGACTGTTGGAAAGGTTTTCGGATATGGTTGAAGTGTTCTCGATTTTGTGCGCAAGGGGTGTAGGATTGTTCGGGTGGGGTTTAATGGGTTGTCGAATATTATTCGGGGCCCACCCCCGTATATACCACGATGTTCTGGGCTTCTAGGACTGGAAGGGTTCTTCATTTTGTTGTACAGTGTGGTGGCTGGGGTGTTATGACGTTGGTCTAGATTGAGGTGTACAGGGTTTGCTGTGGGCGGTTGCGTTGCCCTGCTTGTTGGTGTGGTTTCTTTTGCGTGGATCTGAAAGGCAGTTTCCTGCTTATCTTCCAGGAGGGCATCGAGGGTTCTCAGTTTATTGCTTTGAACGTTGAGGTTCGTGATTGGGTTTGGGATGATGAGGTGGGATTTGGTGGTGATTTTTCCCTGCACAAACCTAGCCCGTTTTTCGTAGGATCTTACACAGGCTACTCGGGCCCTACATGAAACAAGTATTTTGCTTCAAACAGAAGCCTAAGAAAATTACCAATACTGTTCCGAAAAGCTTCGGGTTCCTCATCATATTTGCACCATGGTACACCCACAAAACCCTGTTCGAATGTTAAGGTAATTGTATTGGTGGGTGTAAGATGTTGTGACTCGGGGTTGGGTCTACAGATTGGTACGGCCCCCACTCAGTAGTAGTTGAATAATTTTCATAATATAGATATACTAGGACCTTAATAGCAGCCCTATTATAGACTCTTACTGTAAGGGGGCAGTACCTGGTTTGGTGTTTGTAGCTTGTGGGGGTGTGGAGTTGACTCTGGGATCCTTAGGGGAGGGGGGTTCGCGACGGGTATATAACCCAATCATCCCTTATTCTTCGCAGTGCTCCCTAAAGGTTCCCTGAGTCAATCTTAAATAAACTCTAAATCCATCCTGATATCTAAGCCCTAGAACCCTAGAGACCAATTTTCTGGCCCAAGGCCATTGTTGCGCCTGGTTGTGAAGAAGCCGGCGGCAAAAACAAAGTCGTTGCCGCAAGCACATTTTGTTTGGGTCTGCTATAGCAACCGCCCTCGGAAGGTGGCCGGCATGTGGCAGACCTCTTTCAGCAGGTCCAGTGGCATGTTGGCTTTGGCTGCAAACTGGCCCTCACAAGCGCCGCGGAGCACGGAATGTCAGCCCCGACTACTTCGCAAGCGGCAACGTCTCGGCAGCGCTGCGATAGATAACGGATCACCCGGAGCCCACTGCAGAGCGTCAATGCCGAGGTCGGCATGGCCAACACTTCCAGGAGACCGGTTGTGGTCATGGCGGACGATCCGGGAGCGCGGCGGCTCGTGGATGGAGAGCCGGGTTCCTGGGCTAACAGCCACGGCCAAAAGCTTCCCTTGCAGACTGCTGCGGCCATGATTTGGAGGAACATGCACTGAACCACCCTCCCTTAAGGATCCTATAAGCGTGGTTGTCAAAATTATGGTCCCGTTTTGGGGTACCCTAGATAATAGGTGCCGTACTATAATAGGGACCCAAAAAGGGACCATAATTTTGACAACCCAAGTTGGAGGCTTCCACTTTTGGAGTTTCGGTTTTGGTTTCCAAGTTTAGGGTTTAGGACGCTTGAGCTTGAGGCTTCTGGGGTTTAGGCTTCAGGGTTTAGGGTGTAGGGGTTTGGGGTTGGGGTTGGGGATTTAACAGCCCTGTAATATGAAGGGGTCACGTCCTGCTATTCTGTAGGGTTTTGGGGTTAGTTGCATTTATGTTTTTGGGTTTGGGCTTTCATGGTTTGATTTGAGTTTCGAGGGTTTCGGTTTCAGAGTTGTGGCGTTAGCTACCAGGCTGCGAGAATCCAACAGTCAGTCGTCATTGAGTGCGTGAGGTCTTAAGCTGTAGGGTTTAGGGTTTAGGGTTTAGGGATTAACGCATACCAGCCAATGGTCCCATGCTCTGGGCTTGCGCTGAACCGGATTTTTCGAATTCTTGCAAGAAAACCTGTTCAGACATTAAAGACCATAGGGTCTCCAGTAAAGGGCCATTGGGGCACCTTGAACCGTACACCCTGAACCCCATCCCCATATTCTGGGCTTGCCCTGAACCGGAGTTCCTTCATCTGCACCCTGAACCGTACTTGGAAGGGCAGGGGACTTAGTAAGTAGGTTATAAGTAGAGTTATAAGTACCCTAAATGGAGTTACCCCAATTATAACCCTACTTATAACCTACTTACTAAGTCCCCTGCCCTTCCAAGTACACCCTGGATCCAGACCGCGACAACCTGCCAGGCAAGCAACCGAGCTCCCCTGGGCACTAAACCCTTCCGGTTCAGGGTTAGAGGTCTGTAGATGTCTATGAAACCTAAACCCGAACCCCCTAAACCCTAAACCCATATAGGGTTTAAAGTCTAGAGCTTAGGGCGCAAGGTTTAAGATTCAGCGTTGACGGTTTGCAGGGCACAGCCGGCCTCCGAAACCCTGGGTCTTATACTCTACCAAGCGAAACACAGACCCAAGCCCGAACCCAAAATCGAATTATTGTGATATCACAACAGAGAAGTAGCCGTGGAACTAAAAAGATTACTGCCGCACGTATACTCCTTCGTCCCGAAGGTGATGCTCTACACTCGCTGGAACATGCGCTTGGGCTTGAAAGGTTTCGGAGTGCAGCGTGTAGTACCCAAAGGGTTATGGGGAATACTTCCCTAAGTCATAACAGTAATTCCTAACATGGAAACCCTACATTCTACTATGTCGGTACATAGGACCCTTTGGGATAATGCAGGATTTATATCCCCAAACCCTAAAACCCTATAGATCCATTGAAGGAACCCCTTAAAGGTACCCCTATAGCTCCCTTTAAAGGAACCCCCAGGATGTATATCTTCTCGAACAGATCCCGACCCAAAACCCCGGAACACCAGAAAAGCGCCATGGCTCGGGGCGGAGGTCTCGGGGGTTAAATTTAGGGTTTAGGGTTCATAGGGTTTTTTAAGTTTAGGGTTTAGGGTTAATAGGGTTTTAAAATTCAGGGTTTAGGGTTTATAGGGTTTTTAAATTTAGGGTTTAGGGTTTATAGGGTTTGTAAATTTAGGGTTTAGGGCTAAAAGGGTTTTTAAATTTAGGGTTTAGGGTTTATAGGGTTTGTAAATTCAGGGTTTAGGGTTTATAGGGTTTTTAAATTTAGGGTTTATAGGGTTTTTAAATTTAGGGTTTAGGGTATAGGGTTTTAAAATTCATGCCGTTTCAGCTGTTTGGAGCTGGCGCTTTACTTTAGTACACGGGTTGCTCAGTGGCCATCAGACAAGTGACGTTTATCTTTAACCTGTACGCATATCTACTTATCCATTAGAGATACTTGAGCCATCTATCTACAAAATATGTGGACACATACACATACAATACAATACCATGTACGTCTAGCTGCGCATGTAAATATGCTTGTGTGTGTGTATGTGCGACAGTCAAGTTATGGGAACCTGATTAAGAAACCCGCGGTCTTTATTAGGGCTTCTGAAACGGATCCTGATATTTAGGTGTTGTAGGGCCATGGTTTTTGTTAATCAGGTTAGTTGCTTGATTATACGGTAGATACAGTGTGTACAGGGCAACCATGCCAGTCATTGGGCCCGGGCGCCGATCAAGTGCAGTTATGTTTTGGGGTAATTCCGACCTGAACCCCCAATCTTAAAGCCCAAGCCCTAGACGAATTGTAAACCCAAAATCCTAAACTTCTATACTCAAATGTCAAAACCCCTAATCCCAAAACCCGGCCCTAAACCCTATAAGCCTATAAGCCACAGACCGAACGCCCCTGAACCCTACACTTATAGGATCCTTAAGGGAGGGTGGTTCAAGGGGGGAGGGTATAAGGAATCCTTAGGGGACTGTAAGGGAACCTTAGGGAGTACTAGGGAGAATTAGGGATCACTAGGCTATATACCCCCTGGGACCCCCCTCCCTTAAGGATACTATAATGCACCCGAAAATCCCAAACCTGATCCCGGTAGGTACGACTGGTTCCAGCGGAACTGGGCCCCGTTCGAGGCCCGGAGCTACTGATGTGGGAGTTTCCGAAAATAAGGGGTACCATATTATGGGGTCCTTATAATAAGGATCCATGTTTAGGGTACTATTGTAGGGTCCCGTATTTTCGGAAACTCCCATGTGTCAGTGTTTTAGTTGGGTTTAGGGGTTTTGGTGCTTTTCAGACATGGTGCATTCAGGTGCACCTACTTGAAGGTTCGGGGGTAACAAGAAGTGGGGAGAGAGGAGGGTTACGATAAATACAACCCATATTCGGGGAGATATCACTCTACGTATATCTACCCATGAACCTCCAAGTAGACCTCCCAACAGGATCCCGGGTTAAGGGTTTAGGGCTTAGTATCTACATAGATCTCCCAAGTACGTTCAGTACCTTCTACTAAGTCTACTATGCCCTAAATAAGCACGATGACTATAAGGACCCATTGGCCATAAACTTGCACTTTTGCCGGGGGGAGGTCACGGTACGGTTTAGAGTTTATGCTTCAGTGTTTGTAGGATTTCAGAAGAGCCTGGCTCCAGCACAAGGCTTTGAAAACGGTGCATAAGGTGCAGGTTTCAAGGTTTTGCACTGTGGAGTTTAGGCTCGGCGGAGAAAAATACACAGCTTCAGAAAGCCTCAATCAAGAGGCTCTCTTAGCCCTAAGCCCGCAACCCAACCCGAAGTAGGCAACCTTCAATTCAAAACCCACAACCCTGCATGCGGCTCCTGGGAGTAAGGTTTAGGGTTTTCGGGCTGAGGCTTAGAGGGTTCGAGCTGCCGATGAAACCAGACGCCGTTCTGCCAGCGGGCCGCACCGTCATTGCAACCCCTGAGTCGCCCGAGGCAGTTTCGAGCTTGTGGAGGATTAGGGTTTACCTTAACCCGGAATTACATACCTTTTTCGGGTTCCTTAGTATGATTTCCTTATATAAGTCCTGAAAAAGGTAGGTCCTTCAGGGTTAAGGTAGGGGTGTAGGGGGCGAAGGGTTGAGGGGGATTTAGGGGCTAAAGGGTTTTGGGCTTCAAGCGTTGATCTTTGCAGTAACGAATTTTGATCGGTGAGACAACCCCCGTGGAGACAAGACAGTCTCGGCTGTGAGCCCTGGCACGGTCGGATCCCCATAGTGAGAATAGGGTTGTCGGGCCCATGCTGTTAGCGTTTACAACAATGATGAAGAAGATCCCCAAAGAAGAGAACTATTGGTAAGTGTCCCTGCCCTCGCTGTCAAAGAAACGATGCCGCACCAGGCAGTTGCCGGCATCGGCACATTTGCCCTGGAGGCGCGGGGTTGTTAAGGCTTGAAGTTTTAGGGTTTTGTGTCTGCAGGCTCCAGGCAGGAGGCATCTGTGTCCTCATCGGGTGAGTCGCTACAGGTTGCCTTTTCTAATCTTCAACCCAGATCCTTAAACTCCAAAACCTGAAGCCAACAGCCCAGTAAGTAACTCTTAAGGCAAGTGGGCCGATCCTGGTTGCACCTTCAATCGCTGTAGACCTCCTCAAAAGAACCTTCCCAAAGCAATACCGTGCCATTGCAGCAAATGCTGTGAGTCAGTATACTATAGGGGCCTGAATAATTACCTATACTATTTTGGGTGTTTCTTAAATAGAGTGTAATGGGCACCGAAACCCTATTCTAATCATTCATTAAAGCTCCCATACCGTAGATCCCTATTATAAATCTCTTACAGAACCCTTTCAAGAGCCCTTAGAGGAGCCCTATTCTACTTATTAAGGCTCCCAAATAAAGAGCCTTGGTTAGAGCCCAAACTCCAACACCCTAAACCCTAAACCCCTAACCGCAAGCCCTAAACCTTCACCGGCCTGCTATAAGCAAGTATAGACCCAAACCCCCGGGAGGATCCAAAAAGTAGATCCCTTAATGGGGGTTCCTATAAAGTACCCTTAGTAGTATAGGGCCCCAAATTAGGGGATCTACTTTCTAGATCCTCCCGGGGGTCCGGGGAGCCCCTTCATGCGATCTCCAGCCCTAATCGGCTCCCATACAATAGACCCCTAATATCCCAAAGGGTCCTATGTAGCGATATAGTAGAATGTAGGGTTTCCATGTTAGGAATTACTATTATGACTTAGGGAAGTATTCCCCATAACAGTACATAGGACCCTTTGGGTATAGATCCCTTCTAGTGCCCTTTGAAGAGCCTTTGAAGGAACCCTATTCTAATTCTTAAGGCTCCTAAATACAGTAGAAGCCCAAAAGTTGGAAACCCCATAGCCTCAATCCTTAAGAGTAATGTACAGGGAATAGCAGCACTATTTGGCCTTAACCCGGTTTCCAATTTTATGGGTCTACTGTGCCCTAAACCCTATATTCCTAAACCCTAAACCCTAAGCCCTAAGCCCTAGACCCTAAAGCCCTTCATGCGATCTCCAGCCTTCTTACCCTAAACCCTAAACCCTAAACCCCTAAACCCCTAAAACCCTAAACCCTAAACCCTAAACCCCTAACCCCTAAACCCTAAGCCCTTCATGTGATCTCCAGCCTTATTACCCTAAAGCCTAACCCCTAAACCCCTAAACCCTAAACCCCTAACCCCTAAGCCCTAAACCCCTAAACCCTAAACCCCTAAACCCCTAAAACCCTAAACCCTAAACCCTAAACCCCTAACCCCTAAACCCTAAGCCCTTCATGTGATCTCCAGCCTTATTACCCTAAAGCCTAACCCCTAAACCCCTAAACCCTAAACCCCTAACCCCTAAGCCCTAAACCCCTAAACCCTAAACCCCTAAACCCCTAAAACCCTAAACCCTAAACCCTAAACCCCTAAACCCCTAAACCCTAAGCCCTTCATGTGATCTCCGGCCTGCTATAAGTCAGTATAGAGCCCCTTACAGACCCCTTTAAAGAGCCCAAAAAGGAGCCCTATTCTATATTATTATGGTTCCTATATTGCACCCCTTCATGCGATCTCCAGCCCAGGCCTTCCTCGCCTTTCCGCTCCTTTGCCTCATGCGCCGTGCGGCGGCAGAGAGTCGCCTTGGCCAGGCCCAGAGAGCCCAATACCCCTTAATTCAGGAATATCTAGGACCTAGGGCTCCTTTAAGGGATCTATAGGGTTTAGTGTTAAGGAATGTGCCTTTAATTTATAGGGGCTTCATATTATAATTTAAGGTATATATCCCTTAATTAAGCATTAGGGGCTTCATATTATGATTTAAGACATGTTGCTTAATTAAGGGGTATTGGGCTCTCTGGGGGTCGCCGGGGGGAACGTATCAAATGGGTTCATTCACGGATACACGATTGGGTTCTCTAAGGATTCCGGGTTTGGGGTTAGAGTGATGGGGTCGCCGGCGTAGAATGGGTTCTTTTCTTGGCGTTCTTCTGGCTCCTAGGACTTTAACTTTCAGGGTTTCTATATAAACTACAATACCTAGGCTAAAAGTTCAGCTTGTAGGAGTGGTTCAGAAGTCAGCCAAGTTTTATGGGCCATTCCCAATATAAGACAGGTTCTCTAAGGACATCAGGTTTGGGGCGTTCAGGGTGTTGGGGTCATTAAAAATCCGGGCTTGAAACGATGCTGCTCCAAGTTTTGAAGACCTCACAGTAATCGTTCTTTTGTGAGGGACGTGTAGGCCGGGTTCGATGATGAGTATGTTGCGAAGCTTTCCACTTACAGTTAGACGACGAGATTATCCTTTAACCCCAAAGTCCCACGCCTTGAAGCTCAAATTGCCACGAAAGCGAAACGCTAAGCCCTAAAGCCTTAAACCTAGGCCCGTTCTCATCAACAAGCAAAGAAGTATATCCACGCGCACACACATGTAATACATGTGAGTGTATATATATATATATATATATACATACATAACATGTAGATATCTACCGATTCACTTTAAGTTTGTACGCGTAAAACATATCATCCAGATGTGATTGCTATTGGGGGCATGCCTTTTTATAATTACAGTATCATGGGCCCCCACACCCCCTTCTAATCATGTTATAAAGCCCTGAAACCCTAAAGCCCCAAACCCTTATGCAAAGCCCTACAGCCCGAAGCTACACTTCGAGGTTCATGGGTAGTCATACATTCAGGGCAGTCCATCATGAAGCTGGCTTGGTGTCCGGAATCTGGGCCTGCAAACAAAAAGCTGCTTAACGGTCGACGTTGGTTGTGCCCGGCTTCCTTAGAATGGTTGCACACACTGGCTGGACGCGCAGCTGGACTACAACCCTTTACCCTTGGAACCCACAAGCAGGCCTGGCATTCCCCCAAACTTGTTTAAAACCCCCAGCGCCTGAAACCCTAAAGTCTAAGGCCTTTCAGCCCTAAAGCACTAAGATCCCAAGCAAGACAAAAAGCCTTTGGGGGGAGTTTAGGGGTTTAAGGGTTCAGGGTTTAGGGTAGTCTTCGGAGTCCATGAAGCATGAAGGCTTGGCGCTCCCCTTCTAATTCTTAAGGCCCCCATGTTATAAAGGCCGGAAGCCCTAAAACCCCAAAGCCTTATGCAAGGCCCTACAGCCCCAAGCAGCTTCTGCAGGCCTGGCACTCCCCTGGGCCTTGTCTCCGGCGCCTCCGGGATTTGGCAGCCGCCGCCCTGGCCTTCGGCGTTCTGACGCGCGGCGCCTCGAGGCCGCTCCGGTTTCGTTTGTCAAAAAAGGTGTAGCATGAGGGGCTCAAATAGTTAGAATACATGGGTTCTTTTAAAAGGTTTTTAAAGGATTCTATATGGGATCTATAATAGGGGTCCATAATGTTAGGGGCTTTAATAGTTACCAATACTATAATTTTGGGAGTATAGTATGATATACACCGCAAAACCCTCTTGTAGTTATTAAGGCCCCTATAGTGGGGTTTGGGTTCGGGTTGGTTGTAATCCGGTTATATATGTTTTGCTATCGTGAGGTTTTCGGCATCTGAATTCAACAAAACCTGCTTTACCTTGCATGAACTCTGTGGTGCTTCATTTTTTGCTGGCATATAGAGGGCTTTTGGTCTCTGGGTTTATGTTCGGTTTCAGAGTTTTAGGGTTTTGGGGTTTGGGCCTTACACCGTTCAGGGTTCACGGCTTGAGTGTTGTTTGCTTTTTGATGTTTTAGGGTGTCGAGTTCAGGGATTTGAGACTTAGGGCTTAGAAGCTCGATTCCTCAGTCTTGCCGCTTCCCCTTTTAATTCTACAGTCCGCCCCGGTAAGACTGAATACATAGAAGAGAAAGGGTACCTTTGCTTCGCGGTTCTAGATACTGTTGATGATATAAATCCTGCATTTCCCTAAAGACCCTAAACTATGGGAATGATGGTATATTCCTTATTATGGGTAACGCAGGATTTGTATCATCAACCGTAGCACCCCGTGTTCCGGACATGTCCGCCAGTTCGTCGCAGACATCGCCTGGTGCTCAGCCTGCCCAGTACTCGGGGCAATGACAGTACTTGGAGGTTCATGGGTAGTTATAAGTAGGGTTATAAGTAGGGTAACTGTACTTGTAACCCAGATTAGGGCACGTATAACCCCACTTATAACTACCCATGAACCTCCAAGCAGCGGAACTCCCAGCGCTTGTGCTTCAACGTGAGAGCGCCTTGAAGGAAGCAAAGGCGCAGTTGTCCATCACGAAGAGAACTTCCGAGCTCCTTGTCAATCTTCTGACCCAGCCTTCCGGAAACGTCATTCCTTGGATGGCGAAGCCTAAGCATCAAGCAGATGAAGCTCAGGTTTATCGGTGATACTGGGTTCGAAGGAGACTACGATGATGTAGATGGTGTTTTACAAGGGTTTGACTCGAATAGGGCTTTCATGGCTGTGAACCTTGAGAGTTCGCAGGTTTCAAACGTAAGGTTTATGGAGCTCAGGGCTGCAAAAGGGCCTTTGGCTTTGGTAGGTCTACCCCTAAACCCTAAACCCTAAACCCTAAACCCTAAACCGGCTTTCATTTAGGTTTTGACGTGCGAGGGTCTAGGGTACAGTGGCTTCGGGGGTGTTGGGATCTCGACTCTACGGGGCGTCCTTCTGGTTGGCTCTTAGGGTTGTAGCTTTTTAGGTTTTATATGACCTATAATAAGCGAAAAGTTTAACTTTTCGAAGGGGTTCAGAAAAGATTTGCAAGGATCTAGAATTTTGGTCTTGAAGGGTCTAGACTCCTACTTGCTCTGAAACCGTACTCCCTTAAACCCCCTAAACCCTACAGGCCGTAGGGTGTTAGAGCAAACTCTCTATGATGCCCAGTAGTACCCTTATTCCCTTTTTGTAGTCCTCGGCTCCTTATAAAAGTTACCCAATACCAAAAAGGGAGCCCTTTTTCTTCCTAGGTTACTGGGTATCCTAGTATATTAACCCCCTATATTATAGAACCCTACTATAGATCCCTTATAGACCCCTTTAAGGAGCCCTATAGATCCCTGGGTATCCTAGTATCAGTCATCCTAGATCTTGTTCTTGGCTCCCTGGATCCAATGACTATAGACGATAGATCTCTTCTAAACCCTGAACCCTGCTTGGAAGGGAAGGGGACTTAGTAAGTAGGGCTCCTTAAAGGGATCTATAGGGTTCCTTAAAAGGGATCTATGGGGTTTAGGGTTTAGGGACTTAGTAAGTAGGTTATAAGTAGAGTTATAAGTACCCTAAATGGAGTTACCCCAAGTATAACCCTACTTTTAACATACTTACTAAGCCCCCTGCCCTTCCAAGTTAGTACTCCCAGGCGCGAGCCCGCGACACTGAAGCCCGGGCATCCTACAGGGAACTCCAGAAAGTTGGAACATGGTTTCAGGGTAGGATACCATATAATTTACCATTAAGGGTTTAGGATAATCATATTCCAACTTTCTGGCTTTTACTTTAAACTCTTGACAGGCTCACTGTGAATCGATTCTCCTCGGGGAGGTGGATCGAGGCTGGCTGGGAGAGCAAGCCACAAAGCCCGAAACTGTCTGGGCTTCGAGTTCAGTGCTTATCGGGCTTCTGTATTTTACTACAGTGTATACATATATATATATATATCCTGCATTACTTGAGTGACCCTAAGCTATGGGAATTATGGTATATTCCTTATGATGGGTGATACAGGATCATAATATCAACCGTAGGGTTTAGGCTTCGGATGTAGGGTGTGTTTCGTCTGTTTCGGTTGGGATCTTCTGAGTTGGATGTTTCGACTTGCTACTTGGAGGGGTTTAGGGTTTAAGGTTTAGGGTTTAGGGGTTTAAGGTTTAGGATTTAGGGTTTAGGGTTTAGGTTTTAGGGTTTAGGGGTTAAGGTTTAGGGTTTAGGTTTTAGGGTTTAGGGGGTTATGGGTACTGTAGACCCCTGCCTAATCCACTAGCCTCCATTAAGCGGGCACATATCTTCGATGACTGAGATTTAAGTTTCAAAAAGGTTTGTGGCTACCCAGACCCCCAAATACCCTCTAATATACCCCAAATGGCCCAAATACCCACTATTAACGATCATAAGGGCTCCATTAAATGGCCATTGGTGGGGTCCTGGTAGGGGTTCAGGCTCAGCCGGGTGTAGGTTTCGATGTTCAGCCCATTTTTTGTCCCTGTAAACCCAGTTTTGTTAGTGGTTACCCATAGGCTCCGTAGTAGTTCCTTTTTGGGTTGACCTTATCGGATCCTAAATATGAACCCCAAAAAGGAACTACTATCAACCTACGCGTGGTGCCTGATTTTTTATGTAAACTATGCAATATCCGTAACTCAGCCTGCTGTGCAGGTAGCTGGGCTTTAAAGCATTTCTTGACCAGAAAGTCCTGTATGCCTACACCCAAACAGCCGCTGTTGGAGCGGCAGAGGCTTCACCTGGCAGACTTGCCACCTCCAGTTTTTGCCACACTCGCTCAAATCCTGCGAGAGTTCCAAGTTTACTTGGAACGCAAGGTCCCTGCGAAAGATTCGTTAACAATCCGAGTTCGCGTCGCTGCTGCACAGATGCAGAGTCTGGAAACTTTTCGACAGTTTCCTGGGTGCCTACTGCGGCGACAAGACTTCATGCCGTTGGATCTGCTGGTAGCGCGGCTGGAACAGCGACCGGCCGACGCATTCATGCACTGTTTCGGTGGCAACTCGGTCTTGGTTAGTGGAAGATGCGCAGTCGCCTCCGGTTCAACTGCACGCCCAGGACCCAGTGTGCCGGCGTGCTATAAACAGCTTTGCTTTTTTTTGCCAGCCTCTTGTAGTGACCCAAAACCCTAAACCTGAAACCTTAAGCCGTAAACCCTAAACCGTGGCTCTGCCAACACCCAAGTCCCTAAGGCAGCCATGGTAAGGTCCATGAAGGTCCCAAAAAGTTGGCGTCCCCCTCTTCAGCTCATAAAGGAGCTAAGATTCAGACTGTTCTGCTGCCGGCAGGTACCCATATTGTTTCAGGAGTCATCTTCCTCTCGCACACGCTCGCGGATCAGCATCTCTTATTCTCTGCATCCTCCGGACTGCAAACGCTTCCTACAGAACAGGCAGAGGAATTACGGCGTCGAAGTCCGTTGCTGGTAATTTGGGTGACGAGTTTGGTTTGGTAGCTGGCTCGCCTACTGCCTGAAGGACCAAATGACCCTTAAAAGTAGGGGCACTATACCCACATACTATGAATCCCTATATGGTAGATGAACCTTAAACCCTTTTAGGGTTCATTTCGTCCTTAAGGTGCTTCGTGCGACCCTAAACCGGGTTGCAGGCCTGGTTTTTACCTGCGTGGGTGATCGTTTGCCCTAAACCCTAAACGTTAAACTTTAGGGTTTAGGGTTAACCCTAAACCCTAAACCCTAAACTTTAGGGTTTAGGGTTAACACTAAACCCTAAACCCTAAACTTTAGGGTTTAGGGTTAACCCTAAACCCTAAACCCTAAACTTTAGGGTTTAGGGTTAACACTAAACCCTAAACCCTAAACTTTAGGGTTTAGGGTTAACACTTAACCCTAAACCCTCCCAAAGCTGAACCAGCAACAATGTGGCACCCAAGCCCGAGAACGACACCCCGCCTAAGCAACCCCAAACCCTAAACCCTAAAACCCAAAACCCAAAACCCTAAAACCCTAAACCCTAACCCCTAAACCCTAAACCCCCTGTCGTAAGCCCACCATGCCAGGGTTGGCTGCACTGCATGAACTCCTGCGCCGAGCCAGATCTTCAAGTCTTTCTCAGCGGTGCGGACCGCTGATTGGCCAGCAAATTGGTGTACACCCCTTTACATGGTTTTTGCGCCGGGGTAAACAAACCCCAAAGCCCTAAACCTTGAACTGTAACGGAACGACGGGGTTTGCACCCTAAGCCCCAACAATCATAGAAACCATGATTAAACCCTTAAGCCTACAAATCATAGCTGAAGCCCTGTATCCCTTGCCATACTAGCCCCCCTAACACACTTGTCTTCTTGAAGAAGGTGTACAAGGAAGAGCACATGTGTAGAGGTCATGTTCCTGGTTTGCTACAGTGATTCTTGCTTTCTTTTCTTCTGACATACTTTTATGTGCATTTTTCATCCCAAGACCCACGCTCGATGCATTATTGCCAGACTCAAACCCAGAGAGCCCAATACCCCTTAATTAGGGAATATACAGAAATCATTAGGGGCTTCATATTGTGATTTAAGCTATAATCCTTAATTAAGGGGTATTGGGCTCTCTGGGAAATCAGGCTGCCGCTTCTTCGCGACCTTGCGTGCCAGCGCGCTGCGCGCCGCCCTGGCAGCGCCCTGCGCCCTTCTGGCGGGAGGGATGTCGGGGGCACTTAGAGGATCATGGGACTTAGTAAGTAGGTTATAATTAGGGTTATAAGTCCCCTAAGCGGGGTTATCCTAATTATAACCTACTTATAACCTTACTTACTAAGTCCCATGAGCCTTCAGGCAGGGAAGAAGGCTTGGCGGGTCATGGCTAGTTATAAGTGGGGTTACAAGTCCCCTAGTATGGGTTATAGGTACAGCTACCCTACTTACAACCCTATTTTTAAGTTTTAAGTACCCATGAACCTCCAAGTGGCGGGTCATGAGGACGGGAGGGTCGAAGTGTCGAAGTGGCTCTGAATCACGTGGTTTTGGACGGCAACAGCCACTGTCAGAACCCCGCGGCAAAGACGATAAGAGATTCAGGATATTTCTAACGACCACCGCTGACAACAGCAAGAGCAGTAGCGGCACTATGAACAACTTGCAACAGTGGCAAGAAGTCATGCTGGCAAGGGAAGGCAGTGATGCATTCGTAAGACAGGACTCCAATAATAATGATGCACCTGACTATTAATTATTTGTCTGGATCATACCTATGGTTATAGAATGGTTCAAAATGGTCTGAAGTATGATTCGAGGTGTTTTGCTCCAGTTGGCTGCTTGGAGAGCTGCAAACGTGGCAGGCCACCCTGAGCCCGGCTGTGGCTGTGTCACTGTCATTCGTGGCCGCGGCAGCGTGCCAAGACTTTGTGTCCTGGCACTTGCAGGGCGGTTGGGAGTTGGGGATTGGAATCCAGCGATTGCCTTTACCCGCCACCTCTGCTTCCCAAAATGACTTGCTGTTTTCAGGAACTGCATAGGGAACTCACTTATAGCAACCCTCAACATATAGCTTTCTTAGGGTCCAGGTAATCCTTGCGGTGTTGAGGACAACTTTGGGGGACACCCTTCCGCGATGATTGTCGGGTTTCCTGATAAGAGCAACCTAAAGTCTCCATTGTAGCTCTTGTTTTGCTTAACAAGACTCATGGTTAAGATACCATCATATCAACTCTCCAAAACCTTAAACTACACTATAGGTGCTAAAGCCCTGAACAGCCTAAACCAGAACCAGTAAGCAAAGAAAGAAGCTGTGCTGGAGTTCTTAAAGGCTCCTTAAAGGGATCTATAGGGTTCCTTAAACGGATCTACAGGGTTTAGGGTTTAGGGCCTACTTGGAGGATCAGGGGACTTAGAAAGCAAGCCTGCAGGGAAGTTCGCTGCATGGGTTTCGGGTTTACGGCTTTTCGGGCTCGGCAGGTTTAGAGCTTCATAGCTTCGCTAAGGCTGGAGAGGGCCTTTGGGGCTAGGCCTAACATGGGAGTTTCCGAAAATAGGGGTACCTTATCTTGGGGTCCTTACAATAAGGATCCTACAATTTAGGGTACTATATTAGTAATTAGGGTCCCCAATCGGAAACTCCCACATGGCGTTTAAGAGTGTTCGAATGGTTGAAGCAAAGCAGTTTTCAAGCCAGGGCCGGTTTCTTGGTGGCTTGCACAGCAGGTCACGGAATTTGTTCTCCGCGGCCTTTGAGGCTGTAGCATCTGTAGCAACTGCTCAACCACGAAGCCTCTAATCCCGCAGCTATCAATGCTTCTTGGCCCTGAAAAGCTTCAAGCCTATGCTAAAGCCCTGAAACCTTAAAACTCTTTTGAGGATGCCGACGTCCGCCGCGCCCTGCTTTCGGTTGCCAGTGCCGCGTTTGCCGCCTTTGCGGCCGACGCCCCCAAGAGGCGACTTTCCTTCTGAAAAGGTACAGGGTTACTCTAGGTAGGGTTTACAGCCAAAGACCTGCCATTTCAGGGCTTATGCCCGCATATATCAGGATATGATAGTAAGGAGCTCTGCAAAAGTAGGACATTATATGCTCCAAAGGAGCATTGAGGGTCCGGGTACACACTAAGCTAACCCTAAACCCTAATCCTAAGCCCTACATGGGTACCGGTAAACCCTAAGCCCTTCAGGTGGCTCAAAGTAGCTGCTTTCCTCGTCCTGGGCACAGCAGCCGCCCTCGTGGGCGCGTGGCGGGGCTGCATGGGCAGCGGAGGTTCAGTACTTTATAGGTGTCCTTTCTGAGCCTTTTTTTCGATTTTCTGCAAAGGTTTCGAAGTTTTTAGGGGTTCGGGAGTACGTAAATGAGGTTTCGGTTCTGATTGTTTAAGAGCCTAGAGGTTAGACTCACTGGTTGCTTTCAAGATGTAAGGTTTGAGGTTTAAGGGCGGGGTCGTTTCCGTGTTACACGGCGGGTGAGCTGTACGGTTTCGGAGCTCAGCTTCCGACGATTCGAGCTTTATTGATTTCCGAAGCCGAATCCTCAATGCAACTTAGGCCTCCAATGCTTCAGCGCTGAGCCCTAAACCCCAAACCCAACGATAGATCCCTATTCTGGTAACTTAAACCCTATAAACCTAAACCCTAAGGACTCATATATCAAGGCCTTTGGGCCCAAAGACCATACTATATAAGGCTTTTGGGCTATTTTGAGCCTTATAGGGAAAGTAAATCCCTTGACAAGAACCCAGTTTAGATGTCTACGACGACTATCGAGCATATCTGCAGTGGCAGTGTTCTTCGTTGTATACCATGCTCCGAACTGCCTAGGATTATTTTTCGGAGGTGGAAATCTTCCAGTAGGTTCGCCTCATTTGAAGTTTTGCCCTCGGCGGACGCTACCGAAAGTTGCCTTCGTCGGGGGCACGAGTTTCGGCTTTATTCAAATCAGACCCAAACGAGGTCTCACAGCTTCATGCCAACTTATATTGGGTGGTTGTCAAAATTAGGGTCCCTTTTTGGGTACCCTAAGTATAAGGTGCCGTACTATATTAAGGACTCTTAAAAAGGGACCATAATTTTGACAACCGCCCAATTACCCTAAACCCTGAACTCTAAACCCTAAACCAAGGAACCCTTAAAGGATCCCTTCAAAGGAGCCCTAGTTTTCGGAAGCTCCCATATGGACCCTCCTTATATCTTAGTCTGGGTCAGCTCCACCTTAATGGCCCCTTCGACCCTTCTCGGCGCCCTCCGAAATACCTTCCGATAGAAATGGGCCATTTCTGAACCAGGCTGTTCAGTGGTACACTTTTTTACTCTCAGATTTCTGGGTTCCTATCAAAAAACAGAATCCTGAAAAAGTATATATGTTTTCCCAGTGGCTTACTGAACAGCCTAGTGAAAGCATAACTGTGTTGCTTACTTTGGAAACGAAGGGATATTGTATGGGGCCATAGGATATGAGAGTTAATGAACTACTTACCCCCACATGTTTGAACTGCAACCAACCCCGGTTCAGTGTGCAGGATTTAGGGAGAAGAGTCTAGTACTTCTGGTTGAGGGCTTGGGTGGAGGATCTAGGGTTTAAGGTTTCATCCAAGGCGTCATGAATTTTGGGACCAGCTGCCGCTAGCGCTGACGGCCCTGGCTTCGTGGCATTCAAGAGAGCCCAAAATCCTGAACTCCAAGCCCTACATCCACCCGAAGCCTAACCTCTGGGGTCCAAGTACCTAATAACCATATACTCCCCCAAATAATGAACCTACATAACGACCATCCTAAACCCAAGTATCTCCTTATTGGCTCCTTCGGACCCTTGGGGTGAGGGCGTGACCCAGGGTCTAGGACTGCGGTTCCGATCTTTAAATCGGTTTGACTGTCGTTTGTTCTTTGTCGGTTCTGCTGGCCTGCGGCATCCTTTGCTAGGTTTGTTTGGCTTTTCGGGTTTAGGGTTTGGACACTTTGAGTTTGGGCTTGGGGCTTCAGAAATGTTGGTGTTCATCCCTTCACGGACTGTTTCACGGTCTCACCCTCGTATTTAAGGAGTCACTCCACAACCCGCAGAGTACGAAACAGTAGTTTAGTGATTCAAAAAATTGTGGAGCTTGCTCCGAACACCTTAATTCTGCAAGTCCCTAATACCGCGTTGGCTGCCTGACCTATACACCTAAATTCTTGTAAAACCCTAATCCCCCCAAACCCTAAAACACCTCAACCTAACATCACACTTCTGTCAAACCTTAAACCTGCAAAACCCCGAACCCTAAACCCCTAAATATCCGCTCCCTGCGTTGGCCCCTAAAACCTAAACCATATACACTCTACAAACCCTAAACCCAAGAAGCCCGATAAGCCCTGGACCCTACAAACACTAAGCCCTCAATCCTAAACCCCAACCCCTAACTCATAAACCCCCAACTCCTAAACCCTAAACCCCTATACCCTATAACCCCTAACTCTTAACTCCGAAACCCTATATCCTAAACCCTAATCTCCATAAACCTTAAAGGCCCTAAACTCTAAAAACCCGGTGAACCCCAGGTGGTCCCCTTGCTTGCTTCGCTGCTACCGGGCAGTGGCGGCTCCTCCCTGACTGCCACTTAGTAGCTGAGTGGAGACACTTTACACTTTTTGGGTTTAGGGGTTTAGGCTTTAGGGTTTAGGGGTTTAGGGTTTAGTGTTATTGCCAATATAAAGCTGAAAGTGCGCTTTTTTGGGGGCTTATGAACTCAGCATCTAAGGCCATGGACCTCGCGCTTCCAGCCATGCCTTTGGTTCCCCGGCTGTGGCGGGTCCCCTTTACAGGAGCCCTCAAAGGAACCCTTCAGGGAACCCAGGACTTAAAGGGTCTCCTTTAAAGGAGCCGTCCAAGGAACCCAGGATTTTTCGGGTCCTTTAAAGGAACCCTTAAGGGAACCCAGGGTTTGAAGGGTCCCCTTTTAAAGAAACCCTTAAGGGACCCACGATTTTAAGGGCCCTTTGAAAGAACCCTCAAAGGAACCCTTAAAGGGATCTTAAGTCCCCTTGAAAGGAACCCTCAAAGGAACCCTTGAGGGTTTAGGGAGTTTAGGGTTTAGGGTTCGGGGTTTAGGGTTTAGGGCTTAGGGTTTAGGGTTTAGGGTTTAGGGTTCGGGGTTTAGGGTTTGAGGATTGTAAGGGTTCCGACAATGGTCCTTCGGGGTCTTTCAAATCGTACTATGCTGTACCCGTATGTACTCCAAAACCATGTTCTAGTTATTAAGGCACCCATATCACGAGGAACTTTCCGTTTTTGGCATGAGGCCCCAAACCTAAAACCATGGTCAGAATGGTCCGTTGGGACGCCATTCCATAAAGCGAAAGACTAGGCAGAACTGCCAGCCGCCTACCTGCAAAAACCCTGCGCACTTCAGCATGAACCCTACAGAGGGTTTAGGGTTTGGGGTTTAGGGTTTAGGGTTGCGCACTTGAGGATCCAAAACCCGTAGCAATGTAGCCTTAGAACCTGGCTCATGACTTTCCAAAGCCTGCAGGTGCTCTATGTGGTTGAGGGTTATGTCGAACCTCATGCCAAGGACTTCATAACTGTGCGATGGGAATGTTAGTCCTCCAATACTGAACTTGCCAATGTCTTGGGCTCTTGTAAATCGGTTTGGTTCTGACAGCTTAAAAGCTGCATCGGGGAAGTCGGGTTTTATAGAAGATGTGGGGACTGCTTGGTATAACTAAGCAAGGAGGAGTTGCTCCATCTTTAGCGTTTTGGGATACTCTAGAGACTCATAGAGGCCCTATAATAGTTACCTATACTATTTGGTGGGATGCTTATTTGTTATATGTACAGTATACTGGGCCCCAAAACCCTATTCTAATTATTAAGGCCCTACTACATTACTCAAGGTGTGGAGCTCCCTTCTTGGGACTGAGAATGCCTTAAACCCTCTGCTCCATTCCGGTGACCGGAACCCAAGAGCCCGAAATTCAGTGCTGCAAACGTACGACAGGGCATTGGAGGCCTGACACATTGTTAGCTTTCTGTCTGACCAGATAAGCCCTAAACCCTGGGCCCAAAACCCTTAACCCATAAGCCCCTAAACCCAAAACCCCAAACCCCCAAAGCCTAAACCCCAGGTGTTAACCTTCAGCTTAAACCCTTTCAACCCCAGCTTGCTGTGCATTGGAAGGACCTTACTGGTTCTGACTTCCTGGCACGTGTCTTGTCGGTTTCGTTCAGGCTTCAGGGTTTATACTCACGGCTTACGGTTTGGGGATTGGTTTAGGGATTGGGGCATACACTCGCGGTTTCGGGCTTGGGGCTTATATTCACGGGTTAAGGTTTGAGGTTTGTAAGTAGCTTAGGGTCCAGGGCTGTAATCATTGCTTAGAGCTTGAAGCCTTAGAGATGTTATTCATGTTTCGGGTCTCGGGCTTATGCTTACATCCCTAGCTTATCGTTTAAGGTTTCATAGTTCAAACCCCAGAGGAAGGTTAGAGTCCCAGGAGGGACGGGCCAAGAAAGGGCGACAAGCCTGGACGTTTCAAGATGGAGGCCGCCATGACCGGACGTCGGGCGGGTGTCATCTTACCTTTGGCTAGTAGGGAATGGAGGAATGGGGTACAATTATAACTACAATTACAACCATACTTCCATTCCCCACGAACCAAAGGTAAGTCATGGGACCTGTGAAGAGGCTTCCTCCGTCGCGCTTAAGGTGCCTGCTTAGGCAGCTGCGGCACCATAAGACGGACATCTGTGTGCATCCATGTGGGAGTTTCCGAAAATACCCCATCGACGACCTGAAGCCATGAGCCTGCTTCGAGGATTATGGGGTTCTACTTACCTTCATGTTTGCTACCAGTAAGTACAGTTTGTAGCCCTAGTTGCAGTAGTTACTAAAGCCCCATGATCCTGCAACTAGACCCGTCGCTCTCACAGCCTAGGTAAGTTAACTACTACTTGGAGGGAGGTTCATAGGTAGTTATAAGTAGGGTTATAGGTATAGGGTAACTATACTTATAGCCCATGTTAGTGGACTTTTAACAATACTTATAACTACCCATGAACTTCCAAGTAGGCCCTAAACCCTATACCCTTATATAATCCCTATAGATCCCTTTAAAGGGACCCTTAGAGGAACCCTTATAACTACAGATGAACCTCCAAGTAGGCACCGACCATACCGACTGCGGTCCCGAGTTCCGTGTGCCAACTGCGGCTGCAGGACCAACCTTAACGCCTAGGGTTTAGGGTTATAGAATTATGGTTTAGGGTTTAGGGAAAGTTCAGGGTTTTAGAATTATGGTTTAGGGTTTAGGGAAAGTTTAGGGTTTTAGAATTATGGTTTAGGAATTAGGCTTTGGGGTTTAGGAATTAGGGTTTGGGGTTTAGGAATTAGGGTTTAGGGTTTAGGAACTAGGGTTTAGGGTTTAGGAGTTAGGGTTTAGGGTAGTAAACTCCATAAAGTTAGAGGCCGGATTAAGGCCAAATAGTGCTGGGATTCCCTATACATTTCTCTTGATTGAGACTATGGGGTCTCCAACTTTTGGGCTTCTACTGTAAACCCCGACTGCCGAAGTCGAAATCCTGACGCCCAACAAAGCCGTCAACGCAAATCATGTGAAGCTCTCATGAAACCTCATACTGTTTTATGGAGCCATTAGGGCACTCATTGGCGAAGGCCCTAAGCCCTAAGCCTAAACACTACCCCAAACTCGAACACCCAAACTCGAAAACACAGCCCTTAAACCCAGGTTGTTTGGGACTCTTGAGCTACTCATTCGCCACCGCCGCAGCGGTTTCTGCCGCTGTGCTGGGGCTGTGGCAGGCGGTCATGTGCCCTTGGGGTTCAGGGCTTTGCATGGTTTAAGGTCTCACATTACGGAATCTGCAGTTTTTCGCACTAAAGTGAACACTGGGAAGTTGGAACATGGATTTAGGATGATTAGTCACGCGAATCCCTATGCATTTACCCTACGGGCATGAGGATAATGGTGTTCCAACCTTCTGGCTTCTACTGTAGCTCACAAACCCTACAAGGCCTTCATCATGAAGTTATGGGTCCCTTAGGCATGAACGGTCTAAAGCATGGTTACAAGTTTTTTGGCAGTCTCAGAGTAGGAAGCCATAAGTCAGGGCTAGGGACTGCGTCTTTGGGGCTTCTATCACCACAAGGGTTAGTAAATGATCTTAAACGGCTCTACTGTGGTGTTTTGATGCTATTGGGGTCAAGCAGCCGCAAGCCTTCAAAGTACGGTTGATGATATAAATCCTGCATTACCCATAGTAAGGAATATACCATAATTCGCATAGTTTAGGGTCCCTAAGGTAACTATGCAGAAGTATCACCAACCGTACGAACGGCAATAATTCCAAGGCTGCTGCCTACATCAACCACGACGACGACACGATTCGAGTCATGACAAGTACGAACACTGCTTTCATCACAACCAGTTCTCGTCTCAGAAGTGACAGATGGTAGTAATTTTGTGAGCAGCAAGAATTACAAACTAGCAGGTAGTGCTCGTGGTCGTCTTAATGTGCTTATCACATTGTGTCCTTACCACGACTGTACTTGTAGTAGCTGTGATTATAAGGTTTATATAGATACTACGATTGTGGAGTTGCGTCCCAAAAGACCATCTTCGTGTTTATCGTTTGGGGGGCTTATCTCCTGGAAGTAGTATAGATGGACCCTCTGGGTAGGATGCTTTAAGCCTTAAACTTGGGTAGGATGCTCTAAACCTTAAGTTTGCAACCCTGAACCCTAAGCCCTAAACCCAAGCGGGACCCAAGCAGTGATGCCCGGCAGGTCCCATGTCTTCCTGGCGAGCTCTGGGCGCTGATGCAGCTACCCACTCGCTTAGCAGATGCTGAGGCGCCGGGTTTAGGGTGCAGGGTGTCCGGTTTCGGGTTTATTGTATAGGTTTAGGGTGTACAGGGTGTAGGGTCTAGCTTAGGGGACAGGCTGTTTTGGGGATTTGCATTATTTAGAGGACAGCCGGTTTAGCTCCAAACCACTGTGAGAATATGCATGAGTATACTCAGGATTCAGGGTACCGAAACCCCTTAAAGCCAATCCTGTACCTGAAAACCAAAAACGGTTCCTAAACCCTGAACTTGAAGGAGAAACTTCACCCCTGAGCCCAGAACAATCAACCCAATACCAGCAATGGGGCAAAGGTTTTGAAACCGTCGAGACAGCTAAGTTTTGAAAGCACCTGATCCACCAAGGAAAATGCAAATTGCATGTAAATCCCGTGCAAGGCGCAAGCTCGAAGCTCGCTTTTGATTCCCTCGCAGCGGAGGCCGCGTTGGCCGAAGAAAGAGCAAAGCGCCAGCGACCCAGAGCTGAGAAACAAGCGATCCTCGAAATCGGTTTAGGGCTCTAGATGGCTTTGGGGATTTGGGGTTTGGGTTTCTTTGGAGTTTAGGGTTCCGGGTTTTGGGGTTCAGGGTTCGGGGCTTAGGGTTTTGGGGTTTGGGCCTTCTTTTGGGGTTTAGGGTTCCGGGTTTGGGGGTCAAGGCTGAAAGTGTTCTGCCACAGCTCCGCCCAGCCGATTCCCCAAAGCGAGCCAGCAGTGACTGCTGGTTTTGGGAGTACTACACGGGGGGTTGTCAAAATTATGGTCCCTTTGGGGGTACCTCAAATATCAGGTGCCGTACTATACTAGGGACCTAAAGACGGGCTACAATCTTGACAACCACCCACAAGTTGTTTTGGGGACCTGATCCTCAAATGGAACCATTATGACTCTATGACCTGTGAAAGTTTCTGCCTGTCACTACTGTCGAATTCTCTCCCTGGTTATCTCAAAGCCCGGTTTGTATCCAAACCGTAACGGACCATCAGCTCAAATTCCAAAGCCAGAGCCATCCATTATCCAAGGCGTAGACTCCTTCCATATCCCTCACTAAATCCGAACTTCGGCATTCAACCAGGAAAGAAAGCAATACAAATTCAAAGCCCGAACAACCCCAAAACGAAGTACAGCAAAGCCCCAGCGACCCAAAGCCAAACCTCAGCACGCTGAACCCCGAAAGCCCTCGGCGTTAATGACCAACACCTATACACCACCTATTAAGTGCGCACAACAACAACGCTTCATACGCCACCTCAGACGCCCATTTGTGGATTTCGATATTATATAAAGCTGTAAGTAAGTCTAATTTGCATGTACGTATGGATGGATGGATGGATGGATGGATGGATGGATGGATGGATGGATGGACGTGTGTGTGTGTGTGTGTGTGTGTGTGTGTTTGTGTTTGTGTTGACCAATGTATGCATGCATGTATGTATGTATGTATGTGCAAAACCAAGTCTACAACTCATAGAACCAGACGAAGCTCCAAACCACATAAAGCTTAATCTGAGGACCCTAAACCGCTAATCCCTGAAGCCCTACACCCCAGAACCCCCCTGAACCCTAAACCCTAACCCCCAATCCCTGAAACCCTTATCCCCAGAACCCTAAACCATAAATCCTAAACCTTAAACCCTAAACCCTAAACCTTAAAGCTTAAACCCTAAACCTTAAAGCCTAAACCCTGAACCCCTCTTTCAAAAATCTTCGGGGCCGAGGTCTTTGTGCCGAGGAAGAGTTGGCGAAACTGCGAAGTTCCATCGCCGCCGGCGCTGACGGCGATAGAAAAACACGCCCTCATCCTAAACTCAAAGGGGAAAAGGAGGGACCCTTAATGGGGACCCTTACCCTTTAATGGGCTATATAATGGTTATATAATAGCTATATTGAGGGTATATACTCAGGGGCCGTTATTAAGGGTCCCTCCGTTTACCCTTGGATAAACCGTGGCAGAGGGGTTAGTGAGTGGGGGTCTTCTTTATAGGAGACCATAGGAGTCTATGACGAGATGTTTCTTCTGGTTTTTTAACGTCGGCTTTTAAGGTGTATGGGGCTTACTGTTTCTGGAGTGTTCAGGGTGGTGTTAGACTGTTAGGTCCTGTGGGTGTATTTTAGAAGGACTTCTATGAGAGAGGTTTGGTTTTGGACTTCCGCATGTAGGGCTTTAGGAGCCACCGGGGTGAGGCCGTTTTCGTTCTCTAAGGCTTTAAGGATCCGTGCTTTCGGACATCGACCCCATAGGCCCCAAAGTAGTTGCTTTTCGGGATTACCTTATAGGACTCTATATATGAACCCCAAAAAGGAACTACTTTGGGGCCTTAGGGTAGCTAGGACCGTAGGACGTTGACTTTAAGATTCGTTTAGAGGGTCTAACGGAGTTGATTTTTGGAAGGGTTCTAGTCTAAGCGCCAGGATGTTCGGACATGTAGCCGCAACCTAGCAGTACTGGCTGTGCTAGGAGGTAAAATAGGGCTTCGGGGTCCAGGGCTTGAGGTTCTTTGGGCTTTGATTCCTTTCTGGATTTAGTACGGTTTAAGTGTTTATTTACAAAACTCTCTTTCTTGAAGGGCCTTAGGATTGTATTCCCTTCTTTCTAAAGGAAAATGATTTAGGGTATGCGTTCCTACGTTTTGGACCACTGTTTTCGGAACTTCATCGGAGGTGGAGTCTGTGGCCATCGAGCGACTCCGACGTTCGGGGTCGCCAGACCAACACACGCGGATCTGGGCTGTGGGCCTTGCTGTTGCTGGAGGCTGCCGTTGCCATCCGTTGCCCACCTATGTGCCGAGTATCTGAGGCATCAAGCCGTAGCGCTTCAGGTGCCCGTAGTAATTTTAGGATTCACTCAAGGTAGCCGTGCCGGTAGACTCAAGAATGACCCCAAAGTCATGGATACATGCATGTGCGTAGCCTGGGTTACGGTAGGTCTGCTAGATAGGGCTCAGCGTGTCCAGTCATGTCCGCGTACATCGAACCAAAAACTGTCAAAGCCAACATTATCATGCCGGATTCGATAAAGCTGCTTTCGCGGGTCTGTCATAGGATGTCACCCCCCACACATCTTTAGCATGTATAGAACCTTTACGAACCTTTATAGATGTTTTATAGCACCCTACTAAATATGTTTTTATGTTCAAGCATGTTTTTTATTCCTCCGCCCTCTAAGCCGACATCCGGCGTTGCATTGAGCCGCGCCATGCCGCCAGCCAAAGCCTCTGCAGCTTCTGAGAGCCCCTCCAAGGGGAGCGCACTTCGGCCCGGTGAACAGGGTTTAGGGTTGACAGGGCCTCATGTTTACCTAGAAGTAGAGTAATTAGGTAACCTGTATAACCTTTTGGGTAAGTTAGTTGTAGCCATTTTGGGGTACCAGAATCCCCATATAGTCTAGGGTATGTTCAGAAGTTCAGTAGTCTATAGGGTATAGGGTCTAGATTTTTATAGGGCTTATAGCGCGGCATGCTCCAGCTCAGGCTCTTCGGCCTGACAGAAGGGTAATGATTTCCCTAAGCCTAAGCTCTCAGCCTACCCATGCATCCTATACCCTGACCCTGTTGGAATGTGGGCTCGCTATTGACGGTCGCTTAGCGTTTAGGGTTTAGACCCAGGGTTCTATCGAGATGAGGCTTGCAAAATATCTTTGACAAAGACCATGCAGACGAAGCCAACGCAGCCAGCGTCAATTCAATGCTGCAAAGAAATCACGACAGTCTACGGTGCACAGATCGTTCAAGCCTATGAACCCTTCTGATCCAGCGGATGATGTGACACATATCAATACTGTCACTAGCCCCCTTAGCCCTATAAATCCTTCATGAAAGGGATGCTGGATGATGAAATCAGGCCATCGATGCAGGATCCCCATGGCAATCTACCCTACTTGGAGGTTCATGGGTAGTTATAAGTGGGGTTATAAGTCCCCGAATATTGGTTATAAGTATAGTTACCCTACTTATAACCCTACTTATAACTACCCATGAACCTCCAAGTAAAGCCCAAAGCCGAAGTTGACCACCCTAGGAGCCCGATGGGCTTTGCCTGCAAGCGAAACGATGGCTGTGCTTGGCTGCACCGTCGGCCGCGCGCTCAGCTTTTCTAGGTTCGGGGTCGACCTAGACCCCCCAACTACCCTTTATTGTAGCCCCGAATTGCCCCTTAACGAGAAATATTAGAGCCCTTTAAAGGGTACTTGGGCCAATTGGGGGGTTCTGGTAGGATCTACAACTCAGTCTTTAGAGTTTAGAGTTAGTTAGGGTTTAGGGTTTAGGCTCATCTTTTGGGGTGAACTCTACCTAGGCTACCTTGGTAAGGAAAACACAGCAAGGAGCCCTCCGTTTACTAGGTGCCCCAGAATACCGTTTTGCCGGGTCTCGATATTAAAACCGCACAGGAGGAAAACGGGTACCCCTTGTTAAGGGGCTACTGGAGAAGCTGGTTTAGGGTTTCACGGTCTCTGGTTCCAGCCATTGGGGATTCGGCAGCTCAGGGACATTTGGTTAAGGTTTAAGTTTCAGGGAGGGTTTTGCGGTTCGGAGATGTTAAGGTTTCTGGACTGGAAGGATCAACGTTTTCAGGTTGGGAACCGCTTTGGGACAATTAGGGGTCGTCGCCCGGAGAATAGCAGCATCAAAAAGCAGGTTCTATTACTTTTGGTAGTAGACTCAGCGGTAGTTTAGTTTACACGCCAAGAGGGTGTTGTCAGCGGCGCTCTTATCATTGTAATGTTGGCGATGTTACCGATGATGATGCTGCTTTTGACAGGGACGCTGAATTGACTTTGATGGTTTCAGCGTGTAGATGGCTGCGAGAAAAAAACGGGGCTGGCGGACGGCAAGCTCAACAGCAAAGGTAGCCGCAACAATGACGGAGTCCCTGTCTGCACCGTAACATAAAAGGCACATCCATGCTCTATGGTTTGCATTAATCCGCTATGGGACGTGTCTAACGAGCACTAAGATATTCATCCGCAGCTTCGAGGAGCCATAATAAAGGTTAGCAGCTCTAAAGGCTCTAGGCCACCCAAACTTTGAAGCCCCGAAGCCCTTTAAGCCCTTTAAGGCCTTTGGCCCCTAAAGCCCTGTCTCAGCATAAACCCTGGAAGCTCCAAAACCCTGAGCCATAAACCCTATAAGCCCTAAATGGCTGGTTGTCAAAATTAGGGTCCCTATTATAATACGGCACCAATAATTTAGGGCACCCCAAAAGGGGCCATAATTTTAACAACTACCCAAATCCTGAACCTCGAAACCTAAATCCTCAACCAACCCCGATTCAACCCTGACACTGTCCTCGCGCGAGCCCGTGCAGGAACCCTTAACGCGAACTAAGAACCCTGAACCCTCAAGTCACAGGACACCAAAGGTGGGATGAAGGTAGGTGGGTTAATCTCAGGTAATGTAGGAACCTGATGAAGAAACCCTGGGCCCACAACCCCCAATATAGTAGGATTCATATCAGGAACCCTAATAAAGGCCCAAGGTTTCTTATTCAGGTTCCTACATTAAGAGTCAGGCATCCTGATTCCTACCTGTCTTCATCCCACCTTCCAGGCCCGTGATTGAGACTTATAAGCCCTAAGCCCTAGATCCTAAACTCTAGACCCTAGAATTTGAATCCTAGTCCCGATGTACCCTTAAACCCTAAACCCTAAACCCTGGGGGAGGCTCTGACTCTGGGGGCTCTTGCCTGCAGTTTGACTGCCATGCGTGAGGATCTCAGCCTGTTTTGGATTTGTTGTTTCCCCAGGGTTCCAAAGGACCCTCGCACGATTTAGGGCTTAGGGTTTAGTAACTGTAAAGGTACCATAAAGGTACCATAAGGGTTCTATACGGGTTCTATAAGGTTCAGGGTTTAAGGGTCCATAAGGGTCCAAAGTATCCAGAAACTAGGCACTCGGTTTTAAAGTTTTAGGATAGTAGATCTGTAAGCTAGGGTTCTTGGAGAGTATATGAATTTTCAGGTACTTGGACCCTTTGGGTTTGGGTTTGGAAGCAGGCGTTTTGTTGGTTCAGGGTTTAGGGTTGAAGGGAGGTCTGGGTATACCTAGAGGCTCCATAGTAGCTCCTTTTTATGGTTGATATTTAGACACTTGGTTCCTGATTATAAACGTCTTGGGCGGCGAGTTTCGGAACGGTTTTAGATGCACAGCACAACTTTGCTTTGGCAACACGAAGAGTAGATTTGCGCGTCTACGTGACAGGACCGGGCGTTCCGGTGCGAGATGCAGTGTTTCCCGATTTCATGACTGCAAGTCCAAAAAACAGATTCGTGCAAACGTAAGAGTCATTAGATGCCCAGAGCTTCGCGCAAGGGTTGCACGCACAGAGAACGTCGCGTTGTAAGGGTAATGAAGAACTCCTTTGGGGCCTCAGGGTAATGAACATGACGGCTGTTGTGTGCTCAATTTGTGCATCTGCTCTTGCTGCCGGGCCTTCCACATCCAAGTTGCGGTGTGGGCACATCCAAAGGCCCCAAAGTAGTTCCTTTTTGGGGTTCATTTATAGAATCCTATAGGGTGCTCCGAAAAAGGAACTACTTTGGGGCATGGGCATCTTCCACCGTGATTGCGTGTCAGAATTGGCAGCGCGGGATGGCAGTCAAAACAAGGAGCATCCCAGGGAGTCCGTAACCTAATTACCAGGGTTTCCTGTGTTTGCCATTCCCCTTCGATTCAAGGGACATTATAATTACAGACTATTTACTTTTCAGTTTTCAGTGATGGCGTTTGGGGTTACCAGAAGCTACGAACTGTAAACCCCAGAAGGCTCGCAGCCCGGAGCCTTTATTGGCACCGGAACCGCTAAAATCCGCTAAACACGCTAAACATTGAAACCCTAACGCTAAACTCCCCAAACCCTAGACGTGAAACCCTAAACAAACTCCGAATTCCTAAACCCTATAAACTCTACAAGCCATGGCCTTTTGGAACGCTTTCCCAGGTTCCGCTTTTGCACACAACTGGGCGCAAGCAGCTGGGCACCAGCCCCAGTGCTTCCTAGCTTTCAGGAGCCTTCGATGCTTTTAGCAGTGAGAGGTTTAAGGTTTAATGTAGGAAGCTGATTAAGAAACTCTGGGCTTATAACCCCAAAATAGTAGGGTTCATATAAGGAACCCTAATAAAGGCCCAAGGTTTCTTAATCAGGTTCCTACATTAGGGCGGCTCAAGGCTGTTTGAGGCTTTTGGGTTCGGAGCTGCAGGGCTTTATAGATCATAGTTATAGGGTCTTTAAGGTGCAGGGCTTCAGGGCGTCTGGGAGCCTGCAGGCTTATTTGTGGCTGGTTTTCAGGTTTTGGCTTGATGGCTTGAGTGGAGCTCTTTTGAGGTTTATAGGGCTTAGGGCCCACTGTTTAGGGCTTTTGTGTGCAGACTTGTGGCTACCTTAGTTACTGGTCTGTGACTTCCGACACTACATGTGAAAGGCCTGAAGCTCCGCCATATATCGACTTTAGTACAATTGCGGCCCTCAGACCAAATGCTTGATGGTAATGTGATTTACTTTAGTCTCCTCAGCAATTATTGTTTTTATTTTTGTTCATATAAAACCCAAGAGAGTATGAAACATAGTATTCTTTATTTTGGTTCTAAGGGGGGGTATAGTTTAGATCCCGTAAGGTTGATCTAGCTGTTAAGGTTTTCGCCGAGGTTGATCATTGCAGCAGCTGTTTGTGATGGCTTGGATGGCCACGTCGCAAGGCCTGGGCAATGATGCGGCTAAAGGGATCCAAGTGCCCGTGCCCAAACAAGTTTGGGGTTCAACGTGGGATCAGGGTTTGGTGATTGAAGCATCAGTGGTCTAGGGCTTGAGACGACAAAAACGATTGAGGGCATGGTGTTTGGAGTTTAGCACCCCCGCTTGTTGAGCATGTGGACTTTACGACACGAAATGGTAGACAACAAAGTATATAGTCCTACAAGCCTTAAACCTTAAACCCAAGCTAGACCCCCAAAACTACTTCTGTCATACCCAAAATGCCCACTTTTAAGGACGCTAGCGGGTCTGATGGAGGGCCTTCAAGGGTCCTGGAAAACCCAAACACGTTTCTGTAGGCTTGTCAGCCATGTGGGAGTTTCCGAAAATGAGGGGTAATTACCTTATTTTGGGGTCCTTATATTAAGGATCCTACTAGTTAGGGGGCCATATTAGGGTCCCCTATTTTCGGAGACCCCCATGTAGCTTGCAACCTGAGCCGCCTATCCGCACCGGTTGAGCTAGGATCCCTAAATCGTAACATAGGGGTCGCACTAAACGGTTTGCGGTTTAGGGTAGAGGGTAGCACGACTAGTCCTTCACTCTTTTTCGCCTCTATGTAAATTATGTAGCCAGCTGTTTTCTGCAACCTAAATTCAACTCTCAAGGCTCAAAACTACTCACCGAGTCGGCACCGAACTGATGCAAGTTGAAAGGGGCTTATTTATGCATGCCTAGACTATGAGCTTATGACGAGATGTTATAGGGGATTTATATGGGGTGTACAGACGCCTGCCTCAAAATTAGAGTACGGCTTGGAATATGATTACAATATGGGCTCGAGTTCAGAGCTTGGTGTAATCATAGAATGTCGTGACACCTACATCTAGGTTAGTATTGTAACTACCAGACCCTAAAGAACCTTCCTTTGTTTAGGGCCCCTATATTTTGATGAGCTCCTTCATTTTCCGTGTTTAATTCCATAAACAGTAGGTCATTTGGGGTCCCGGTAATGTTTATCGCCGAGTTGCTTGTTGAGTGGAGCGGTGATCCTACTGTATCTGCTTGTCGGTAGGGCTTCGAAGCAATCATTGCAACATCGGGCGCAACCCGAAACCCTAAATTGTTAGGTTTAGGGATAGGGTTTAGTGTTTCTTCCCAGATACTGGAGGCATGCTGCATGCTGTCGAACTTTATTCGATTGTGACCTCCTTGGCCCAAACGCTCGCGAGCCGCAACATGCTGGACCGATTTCAAGTTCACTCACCATGCACTCGCCCACGCGCGCTCACACACTCACAGCAGGTGCGAAGAGCAAGGGCAAGGCCAAGGCAAAGCAGGCGGTGCACTAGACCTGCTTCATTTCCTTTCGCGAAACCAGAAAGGTGTGTAAGCACAAGTGCTGTGGAGACCACTGCTGTCTTGCATCAGGCAAAGACATCAGGCAAGAAGAACGAAGTGGGGCGAGCCTTGTCCGACCCGAGTCAGGCTGCCAAGGCTGAGAGAGACTTCGCCCGGCAAGTTCAGAAACAAACATCGCTGATTTCACCCAGTAGAGCAGATAGCAGGAATGCTACATGTACGCGCAATGTATGCGCACAGGCGCGCACATATGCATACATCTGGACATGGCGTCTATTTGTTCGTCTTGGCTGTTTAGAGTCATAGTCCATGACTCATATATGTCAAGTGTTCAATATGGGCACACATCGTCGCATAGGTGTTGTCGCCTTGCCCATAAATTCTGCAAGGAGGTATAAAGACTTGAAAAACGTTGTTGTATACAACTCTCGTTCGATGTTTCTGCACCCCGATTCCGACAACCGCAAGCGATTCACCCTAAACCCCGATACCTCCAAAACCAAAAGTCTAAAGCCCCAAGGCCTAAACCCTTGAACCGGGAAACCTAAACCCCTAAACCGAAACCTCTCAACCCTGAAAGCCTGACCCCCCAGCTCCTAGTCCCAAAACCCAAATCTTTTAATGCTAAACGTATGCATTGCAGGCTTCTCGATGCAGTTACAGTCTTCGGCGGCGAATTGGACAGCTTAGGCTGGAGGGATATCTTCGGGCCGGTATAGGGCTTAGGGTTTAGTAGAGGGTTTTGTAAGTCTTTAGTATACCCTACTTGGAGGGGCAGGGGACTTAGTAAGTAGCTTATAAGTAGAGTTATAAGTACCCTAAATGGAGTTACCCCAATTATAACCCTACTTATAAACGACTTACTAAGTCCCCTGCCCCTCCAAGTAGACCCTAAACTTCCTAAACCCTAAACCCCATAGATCCCTTTAAGGAACCCTATAGATCCCTTTAAGGAGCCCTTTAAGAGCCCTTACTAAGTCCCCTGCCCCTCCAAGTAAACTCAAAGCCCTGGGGCTGGGTTTTAGAATCATAGAGCGAGGGCGTGTCTCTCGCAGATAGGGCGTTTTAGGGTTCAGGGACGAAGCTGCATGAGGGATCGTGTAGGGGCTGCGGTTTATTGGGATTCGTTGGGTGTTTTGTCGATCTGATGCATAGTTCACATCTCTGTAAGGCGCCTGCAGCAATCGAATCAGAAGGAAGCCTCCCTGGCCTCAAGTGGTGTCGCGGAGGCCGTCGATGATGATGACGATGAGGTGACAGTTGTGGGGTCCAAGAGCTACTTGGACGACCTCTCAGCAGAGGAGCTGCAGGAGCGACTGGCGGTCACCAGTGCCCAGCTCAAGGATCGAAGGTGACCTGAGCTGCAGTATAAAGGTTGCATGCCGATTGTGCATGGGCAACTCGGAGGAGAGTCTTCTTGAGGAATGGACAGAGAGCCATGCGCATGATGCGGAAGGAGCCTCGCACCTGGTTGCTTTCTGGCGACTCTCATGCAGATTGGGAACTGCTGCATCTGATACCGTTGCTGCAGAGATATCTTTGGAGCGTGCCAGTTTGTTTGAGAAAGGTCGGTCTCTGAAAGGTAAAACCGTGGGAGGGAACTTCGTAGTGCATAGGCTTACAGCAAAGATAGGCTTTCGTAGCTTTGAAGCATCGGGTACGAGGTGAAGAAACTCGATTGAAACGCCGGTGGTATGTGATAGATTGCCGCTTTGTCTGCAAACCTCGGGAGTTCAAACTCACAACAATGCATTCCGTGTCACTGAATCTTCAAGCCGTTCATCCTATGTAAGCTATCTCTAAGACCCTGCGAAATCCATAAACGCTAGAGTGCGGACCCTGCCCCGGGTTATGTGGCAGCATGCTTTACAAAACATCAGTCTGCAGACCTAGACACTTTGATGCCGACCGAAGCCCTAAACCAATAGGGGCCCACGCAACCCCAAGTCAACCAAGCCATAAACCAACAGAGGCCAGTGCAACCCCAAATCAAAAGTTGACAGCTCCTTCCGGCACCCTAAACCCTACCTATAGTCTCCATCGTATTTCCTTTTTGGGGTTACCTTCTAGGATCCTAACTATATAATTGGTTAAACCACAAAAGGAACTACAATGGAGACTATCGGTAAACCTCAATGCCCTATCAGGCCCTGCCTGCCCTCATCCCCTAAGGTAAAAGCCAGAAAGTTGGAATATGATCATCCTAACCCTTCTATGGTAAATTATAGGGTATCCTACCATGAAACCATATTCCAACTTTCTGGAGTTCCTTGTAAGCCGAAGCATGAATCCTGCGCCTCCTTAATGTAGGAACCTGATTAAGAAACCCTGGGCCTACACCCCGAAAATCGCAGGATTCATGTAAGGAACCCTAATAAAGGCCCAAGGTCTCTTAGTCAGGTTCCTACGTTAGTATAGTACGCTTATGGATCCCTGAAAGTAACCCTTATAGACCCCTTTAAGAGAACCCCCTAGTTCCTACCTTAAACCCCCAACGTCTTACAGGTGACTAGGTGAATTTTGGGGTAACCCTAAACCCCTGAACCCTAAACCCTAAACCCTACCCAAACATCTTACAGGTGACTTGGTGAATTTTGGGGTAACCCTAAACCCTAACCCCTAAACCCTAAACCCCAACCTTAAACCCCAAACCCCTATGTAAACCCTAAACCCTACCCAAACGTCTTACAGGTGACTTGGTGAATTTTGGGGTGGCTCCCGCGATCGTGATGTACGCCTGGGCAGACCAGGGTCGAGGACTTGCGCTCGTAGAATGTAGGGACCCAAAAGGGTTCCTTAAAGGGTTCCCTAGGGCATCTATAAGGGTTTAGGTTTTAGGGTTTGGGGTTTAGGGTTTGGGGTTTAGGATTTATAGGGTTTAGGGTTTAGGGTTTTAGGGGCCCAAAAAGCACATAAGCATAAGCATTTTGCATGGGATATCCCTACCTTATTGGGCTTCATTATAAGAGGATTTCTATGGGATATCCCTATCCTATTTTTTGCGTATGTGCTTTTCTGGGTACCTAGAAACCTCAAACTGCGGCTTAGGGCTTTAGGATAAGGGTTCCTTTAACAGTCCCTTTAAAGGGATCTATAGGGATTCTATAGGGGTATAGGGTTTAGAGTTTACTTGGAGGTTCATGGGTAGTTTAGGGCTTTAGGGGTTTGGGGTAAAACCCTAAGCGGCCCCAAACCTTTAACCCTTAGGGGTTTGGGGTAAACCCAAAGCCTAAACAGGAAACGCTAGAGCAAGCGAGGACTGGTAGGACAAAAGATACTGTAGAAGCCTGAGGCCCGATTGCCCTACCGGTTGATGTTATAAATCCTGCATTACCTTAATGACCGAAAACTATGGGACCTATGGTATAATCCTTATTCCGGGTAATGGAGGATTTATATCATCAACCGTGCCTAGTATTGAGGGGATAATGGAGAACCTGGTAACTTACTCGGGAGCTTTCAGCTTTGACCTGATTTGGGGGTCTGGGTGCACAGGCTGCCCGCTAACTTATTGAAGTATAGGGATGCAGAGTAGTATGCACCTCGAGCCTTAAGGTGCATGTATCACAATCTTTAAAGGCCATAGTATATACTGCGCCTTATTATAACCCACTAGAACCTACTTTTTGTGGGATCCTTTAGTCAACCGAGAGAGCGACTACATAGAGGGTTTAGGATGTGTACACATAGATTTTGCATGATATTATGCGGGTGCTTGTGGGAGTGAACGAACAGAGCGCCATCGCACCGAAACGGGGCTTGAGAGCTGTAGTGTCCGTCGCGCGGGCGCGGGCACCGCGCTGAAGGCCATGATGCTGGAGAGCTTGCTCCAGAGAGATACCCTAAGGCCCCAAAATAGTTCTTTTTTGGGGTTCATATATAGAATCCTATAAGGTAATCCCAAAAAGGAACTACTTTGGGGCCTATGGGTAATCCAAACAAGAATTCTTCTAGGGTACATGGTATGGATCCGGCTGCGTTTCAACATGTGCGAGACAGAGCCGGGAAATGACTTTCGCCTAAATTTCGAATTCATTCCTTTGGAAGTCTGAATATCGAAAGGCCTACAAGGCCATGCGCACCAGCATGGAAAGAGCTGGAAGCCAAGAGCGCATGCTTCGGAAACCAAAAGAAACTTTTGGGAAGCCTTCACCCTCTTGCGGCACTTTTGCGCAGGCTTCAGATCTTCCGACTTCGATGCACTAATCTTTCAGCGCTGAAGTTGCTGAACAGTTCAGGGGGTTCAGTCGTCAGATGTGAAGGCTTGGCAGAGTTCAGAAAGCAGGCCTCAAATTGCATGACCTCCGTGCAATCAGAAACCTTCAAAGTACTATCATCGGTATAGACAAGGGTCCTTAATCCTACCTACGCCCTAAGCATCCCCTGAACGATACTCAACCCCAATACCCTAAACATCGTAGAACCCTAAACCCTGAAATCCTAAACATCCTCAAACCTGTAAAGCCCTAAACACCTCTCAACCCCTTCCTAAACATCCTCAAACTTTTAAACCCTAAACTCCTAAATCCTAAACCCTGAAACCCTGGGCATCCTCAAACCCGAAAGCCCTAAACACATCTCAACCCCTTAGGGTCCCATGTACTCATATAGGGGCCCTTTAAGGGTCCCTATAAGGGTTCTATAAGGGTACCATAAGGGTGTCGGGATTAGGATTTAAGAGTCCATGTACTCATATAGTAGATACATTGGCCTTAATGTGATCCCTCTATAGGTACTTTGGTGCTCATGTATCTCTATATGGGTACATGGACCCTTAGGGAACCACAGGAGATCTGGGCGACATAATTCTTTGGATCAGCTGCGTCGCCTTTTGCCAGGCCGATCCTCCCAGAGACTCCAACGGTTGATTATATGGGTTGTTGTCAAAATCAGGGTCCTAGTACGGCACCTATTATTTAGGGTACCCCAAAAGGGACCCGAATTTGACAACCACCCATATAGATCTTGCATTACCCAGAATAAGGAATAAATATGCCAGAATTCCTCATTCTAGGGATTCTAGGGTCATTAAAGTCATGCAGGAATTGTATCATCAGCCGAATGTTCCGGAATTCAGGGTTCCTTCTTGAAGAGGTTCCTGAAAACACTGTTTTTTACCCCCATGTAAGTTTGCAGTTTTGAGACTTAATATCCCGTGATTTTATCAGCTGCTCATGCAGGGGTAATCGGCGCTTGTGAGGGTTTCGGTGTTTAGTCAGGGGTTTCCCTAGCCGTTCCACCTCAACTGTCGTTCCAACTGAGGTAGAACCCAACTCGAGGCGGAACGGCTAGGGAATCCCTGAAAATAGAGCTTTCGGGAATAGGGTTTGAGGTTCAAGGTTTAGGTCTGAGGATTTGGTTTGTAATCTTGGCGGTTTAGGATTCAGTGCCTGGCGCTTAGCGCACCCGCCCCGCTTCGGCTGCCCTGAGTTAGATGCCGGATGGCATGACATGAACGTGAACATAGGGGCCTTCATAATTAGAATCGATGTTTGGGACAGGTTGGGATAAAAGTAGAACGAGATCCGCAAAGGAATCCTACACAAGGGGAAGGATTCAGGCTTCTAGGGTGCAGAGCATGGCATGACTGGCATGACTGTTTGTGACTCTACCAGGACCTCAGAAACTTAACTTTTCGGTGCTCCTTAGGCTTCTGGTTATAGGGTCCAACAATTCAATTTTAGAGGGTGTTCTAAGTCTCAATGCCACAAATTTGTGTGGGTGCACTGACTTCTGTTCATGTCGCTTACTGGTTCCCCACCACCGGCATGTTCTGTCTAGCTCTAGGATCTTCTCCTCTGGATCGTACAAATATTATGGGAGTTCCCGAAAATAGGGGACCCTAATATAGTACCCTAAAAAGTAGTGTCCTTATTACAGGGACAGCCAAATAAGGTACCCCTATTTTTGGAAACTCCCGTATACCAAGCACAACTATGCACCTTCGCCCGGGATCTGGGAGTTTCCGAAAATTACGGGTACCGTACTTGGGGGGGGGGGGGGGGGGGGGGGGGTGATAACAAGGATTCTACTATTTAGGGGACTATGTCAGGGTCCCTCATTTTCGGAAACTCCCATATTAGGTACTTATAGACCGTTGTGCTTGTCAAATACAGGATGACCCCTGCAACGTAGCCCAACTTCAGGGACGGAGGAAGTGCTGCAGAGTTGCATCGGATGTAGGCGGCTTCGGCGAAAAATCAGTAGCTCAGATTCTAGAAGCATGGTGTTTCAATTCCATCGTGTAGATTCCCAGCCCTATCTGATGTTAATGATTGCTGCCATTGCAGCACTTTGGGGCGGCCTTACTTTCGGGTGGACGAACTAATTAGGGACCTGAGTAGTTGCCAAACTATTAATGAGGGTTCCTTATCCCAAGACAAAGCTCTCTGTATGTGGTGTTTACGCGAAGCCGATTTTGATTGAGACCAGCAAAACAGCAACAGCAACAGCAAAAGCAACAGTCAGCGGCGGCAGTAGCAGCAGCAGCAGCAACGGCAACAGCAACCGCGACAAAACCTCAATTGCAACCGCAGCGGCAACAGCAACAGTCAGCGGCAGCGGCAGCGGCAGCAGCAATAGCATTATGATGGCCCCTTGCCTGATAACCTTTATGAAAACCACGACAATACAGGTTTAAAAAGCAATAGAGAAGAGAATGGAAACAACAATCAAAACGAGATAGCAGGACCGACCCCGGGAATGGAAAGAACACCAAAACAACGCAAACTAACATGTGAAAACAACGGAAAGCACAAGAAAACAAACAAAAACTGCCAGGGCATCAGGGACGACAAGTTCAAAGCAGGACCACCAAGCATTCTGTGCTTTGGTTTATTTCCCATTTCTTGTCCATGCCGTGAGGGTGGGATTTGGGCTCCGTCCGAAGGGGCCTCCATCCTGGAACAAGCGCAAATTCCCTGAAGCAGTCAGAAAAAGTGAACAAAACACATTGGAAACATGGAACCAAAAATGGACCACAAATGGGAACAACAACGAGAAAACAAAAAGGAAGTGATGGATCGGGGACGCACGGGGACTATGGGGAAATTATGGAGCAAACAATCAGATGCCAAGTGCACCCTGCAACCAAATCGGACATACGTTGAAGTCAGAATGCCACGGGGTTCCAGTCCTGTTTTTCCACATTATTTCCATCGCGTATTTGATTTCCTGAATGCCTCGACCCCACCTGCAATTTCAAAATAGTCCCATTATTTCTCATTTCCCGAGATGATCGCTTAAAAGAACCGAGACATCATAACCATAGCACTAGCAATAGCGTCAGCGACAGCAACAGCATCAGCAGACACGACAACAACGGTGGCGACGACGACAACACCCCACAGCATTAAATGGGTGGTTGTCAATATTAGGATCCCGTTTTGGGTCCTTATTAGAATACGGCACCTAATATTAAGGGTACCCAAACCATAATTTTGACAACCGCCCACATGAACAACTCGTGTTTGCATTGAAGGCCTGCGCCCTCCGCTTGGCGCGATTTAACATCTCTCCAGGCAAAGGGCGCTTGCAGGGTCGAACTAGATCTCGTTTTAGGATGGTTTAGGTCAGTTTCGGTTTTGAGTTTGCTTTGGAGGGTCATGTGTAGTTCTAAGTCCCCTAATATGGATTGTTATCATAAGTTCCTTACTTATGACGACCCATGAACCTCCGTGTCGGACTCCATGATTCCAGGACCCAGGGTTCAAGTGTTTAGGGGTTAAGTTTGTGTACGGTCTTAGGCTGTATAGTGTAAGGTTTAAGGTTCCAGAGCTACGGGCTTACCTCCGAAGGGCACATGGCCTTGGCCTGAAGGAGAAGGGTCCATACCCAGAGAGCCCAATACCCTTAAATTAAGGAATATATACCTTAAATCAATGGGGGCTTCAAATTTGGATTTAAGCCATATTCCTTAATTAAGGGATACTGGGCTCTCTGGGTATGTATAAGCAGCCTAAGCCCTAAACCCTATGAGAGCAGGCCAGAAAAGACCATCCCCATTACGGGATTCGGGAACTACTCCCATAACGGCCATAGCGGCATTCTGTCTGGACGCTACTAGGTAGGCCTTGGGGACATTTCATACTTGCTCTTATTGGGCATAAGATCCACCTACTCATATGTTTCAAAGGCCTTCAACGCACCTCCTAGGCTATAGTGTATCGTGTTATTAGGCCAGAGCCCGGCACTCATCAACTGGAGTCGCTTTGAAGGCCGAGGTACATGCACTTCTTCCCTTGGACCTCAGTGTCCCAAGCAGTAATGTAGGAACCTGAGTAAGAAACCCTGGGCCTAGAACCCCAAAATAATCGGAGTCATAGAAGGAACCCTAACAAAGGCCCAAGGTTTCTTAACCAGGTTCCTACATTAGACTACGGCCCCAAAGTAGTTCCTTTTTGGGGTTCATATATAGAACCCTATAAGGTAATCCCAAAAAGGAACTACTTTGGGGCCTATGGGTAGACTATAACCCAAACTTGTTCGGCTTTGGGTGCCAGGATTGTTCTACTTGAAGGCTCATGGGACTTAGTAAGTAAGGTTATAAGTAGGCTATAATCCGGATAACCCCACTTAGGGGACTTGGAACCCCAATTATAACCTACTTACTAAGTCCCATGATCCTCTAAGTAGAGTGTAGATTTACTTCAGTCCCATGGCCAGGGTTATAGCAGAGGATCAAGACCCAGAGACTCCAATATCCCTCAATTAAGGAACAGTCCTTAAATTATAGTAGGATCCCTAGTATGATTTTAGGAATATTCCTTAATTGAGGGATACTGGAGTCTCTGGGGGAGTGTCTTGTAGAGGCAAAGGACACACTTATCGTCGCGGCGACTGCTGTTGCGAGAACCTGAGTCCTCCTTGGCGACTGCGTCTCGGTGATCTCTAGCTCCATAACAAACGGTTGCTGCTGGACGGCCAGTCCCGATATCCTCAGATGATTCGCTCTGCGATCACTGCCGAAGGGGAGCTTTCTCAGAGAGCCCAATACCCCTTAATTAAGGAATATAGCTTAAATCACAATATGAAGCTCCTAATGATTTAAGGCATATTCTCTAATTAAGGGGTATTGGGCTTTCTGGGTCTAGAAGCACGGACGTTCCTCGTCTGGCAGCGAGTCAAGCCAAGACTTATATGCGCCATGTTATCGAAACTGCTGCCGTTCATGATAGAAATCCTGAATTACCCACAGTAAGGAATATGCAATAATTGCCAT